AGCTGACGTCATCAAGTTTTTGGAGGGGATAAGCAAATATATTTTGACTAAACATTTATTATGCTCTTTATGACCTTAAAACATCTGCAAGATTTCAGAGCATTCGGTTTTGTAGTTCCTGATTAAATCAATAAAATATATTTACGCGTTCATTAATTTTTTTGAGTCACCCTGTATATGCAAATCCAAAAAATATGAATGGAGTGATAAATTACAAGTACAGACTCATCATATTTTTACAGTTTAGATAGGATTTATTCGGCAAACTTTCGAGCTGACGTCATCAAGTTTTTGGAGGGGATAAGCAAATATATTTTGACTAAACATTTATTATGCTCTTTATGACCTTAAAACATCTGCAAGATTTCAGAGCATTCGGTTTTGTAGTTCCTGATTAAATCAATAAAATATATTTACGCGTTCATTAATTTTTTTGAGTCACCCTGTATATGCAAATCCAAAAAATATGAATGGAGTGATAAATTACAAGTACAGACTCATCATATTTTTACAGTTTAGATAGGATTTATTCGGCAAATTTTCGAGCTGACGTCATCAATTTTTTGGAGGGGATAAGCAAATATATTTTGACTAAACATTTATTATGCTCCTCATAACCTTAAAACATCTGCAAGATTTCAAAGCATTCGGTTTTGTAGTTTCTGAGTAAATTAGTAAAATAAATTTACGCATTCATTAATTTTTTTGAGTCACCCTGTATATGCAAATCCAAAAAATATGAATGGAGTGATAGATCACAAGTACAGACTCATCATATTTTGTACATTTTAGATATGATTTATTCCACAAACTTTTAAGCTGACGTCATCAAGTTTTTGGAGGGGATAAGCAAATATTTTTTGACTAAAGATTTATGATGCTCTTTATAGCCTTAAAACATCTGCAACATTTCAAAGCATTCTGGTTAGCAGATTAAAAATTAAATTTCAAAATGTTGTTTTATAATTTTGATTTTTTTTCCAAAAATCTGGACGTTTCGAGTGAAAAGTCGATTCGGAGTTGTAAACTACATGTGTAGGACTATGTTATTTTATACAATTGAAAACCCATTTACTATGTACAATTTTGAAGTGACGTCATCGCATTAGTGGTGGGGATGATTAGACAAATTTTGGTTAGCGTTTTACCATCTACATGATATTCTTAATATAAGTACAAAATTTCACAACAATCGGTCGAGTACTTTCGGAGATTATCTGTCTAATAAAAATCCGGGACAACAGACGGACAGACGGACGGACAGACGGACAGACGGACAGACGGACGGACAGACGGACAGACAGACGGAAATGGGAGACCTATTTCTTCGTCTTCTAGGGGTCATGAAAGATCGAGAAAACGTAAAAGTAGAGAGTCGGCCGACGGACTCGATTACAATACTTCCTTTGCTTACGCTCGGGAAGTAAAAATCATCGCAATTGCGATAGGGCGGGTGGGCGGGCTTATATTTTGCCTCTTTGTTTTAATATGTGTAGACTTTTTTCACAACTTGAAACATAAAACATATTTAAAATGGAAAATTTGTATAGGGAAATATAAATTTTGCAATTAGGTTCTACCCCATAAATGCAAAGTCCATATTTCCTTGCAAAAACCATGTTGGCCATGTTCTAGGTTTCTTGTTGTGAAAATGGCTATGTATATTAAGAAGAAAAAGGCAAAATATAAGCCCCGCCCACCCACCCTATCCCTATTCTGATAATTTTTTTTTATTTGTCGTAAGCCGAGGGGCGGAGCTGAACTGCAAAATCCTTAGTTCTCTACGAGAAATGAAAAACATGTTTTTGAGTATCGTGTTGTCCAAAGAATGCTATGTATATTTAGAAAAAAATAAAATCATAGACTAGGTCCCACCCATAACCGCCCCGCACTCCATTCTCATTTGTAATGAATTTTTCATTCGTTCTTAGATCGAGGGGTGGGGCTTAATTACAAGATCTATGTTCCTCTACAAGAATTTACCATTTTAAACATGTTTTAAGTTTCTTGCCCTGAAAAGAGGACTATGTATATTAAGAAAAAAGGAAAGATATAAACCCCACACACCCGCCCTATCTCAATTGTAATGATTTTTTTTTAATGGTCGAGAGTCAAAAGAGCGGAATTTAAATGCAAAATTCTTATTACTTCTGTACAAGAAATTCCCATGTGAGACATTTTTTTTAGTATCGTATTATTCAAAGAATACTATGTATATTTAGAAAAGATTAAAGCCAAAGATTAAGCCCCACCTATACCTGCCCTGATCTAAATAGTAATAAAGTTTTCATTTGTTGCCAGACCTAGAGGCGGAGCCTAATTGCAAAATCCGTATTTCCTTACAAAAGTTTACCATTTTAAACGTGTTTTAAGTTTGTAGCAATAAAAAAAATCGTCACAGTTGAGTTGGGGTGGGTGGGCGGTGTGTATATTTTGCCTTTTTTCTTAATATACATGGTATTCTTTGAACAACGCGATACTCAAAAACATGTTTCTAATTTCTTGTAAAGAAATAAATTTTTTGCAGTTAAGTTACACCCCCTTGGTTCACAGCGAATACAAAAAATCATCAGAATTGCGATAGGGCGGGTGGGCGGGCTTATATTTTGCCTCTTTGTTTTAATATCTGTAGACTTTTTTCACAACTTGAAACATAAAACATATTTAAAATGGAAAATTTGTATAGGGAAATATAAATTTTGCAATTAGGTTCTACCCCATAAATGCAAAGTCCATATTTCCTTGCAAAAACCATGTTGGCCACGTTCTAGGTTTCTTGTTGTGAAAATGGCTATGTATATTAAGAAGAAAAAGGCAAAATATAAGCCCCGCCCACCCGCCCTATCCCTATTCTGATGATTTTTTTTTTATTTGTCGTAAGCCAAGGGGCGGAGCTGAACTGCAAAATCCTTAGTTCTCTACGAGAAATGAAAAACATGTTTTTGAGTATCGTGTTGTCCAAAGAATGCTATGTATATTTAGAAAAAAATAAAATCATAGATTAGGTCCCACCCATAACCGCCCCGCACTCCATTCTCAGTTGTAATGAATTTTTCATTCGTTCTTAGATCGAGGGGTGGGGCTTAATTACAAGATCTATGTTCCTCTACAAGAATTTACCATTTTAAACATGTTTTAAGTTTCTTGCCCTGAAAAGACGACTATGTATATTAAAAAAAAGTCAAAATATAGGCCCCGCCCACCCACCCTATCTCAATTGTGATGATTTTTATTAATGGTCGAGAGTCAAAAGAGCTGAATTTAAATGCAAAATTCTTATTACTTCTGTACAAGAAATTCCCATGTGAGACATTTTTTTGAGTATCGTATTATTCAAAGAATATTATGTAGAGTTTTCATTCGTTGGTAGACCTAGGGGCGGAGCCTAATTGCAAAATCCATATTTCCTTACAAAAGTTTACCATTTTAAACGTGTTTTAAGTTTTTAGCAATAAAACAAATCGTCACAGTTGAGTCGGGGTGGGTGGGCGGGGTGTATATTTTGTGTTTTTTCTTAATATACATGGTATTCGTTGAACAACGCCATACTTAAAAATATGTTTCTAATTTCTTGTAAAGAAATAATTTTTTTGCAGTTGAGTTCCACCCTCTTGGTTCACAGCGAATAAAAAAAATCATCACAATTGAGACAGGGTGGGTGGGCGGGCTTATATTTTTTCTTTTTGTTTTAATATGTGCAGACTTCTTTTCACAATTTGAAACTTAAAACATGTTTAAAATGAAAAATTTTTATAAAGAAATATAGATTATTAGTCCATATTTCCTTGCAAAAACCATTTTAACCATGTTTAAAGTTTATTGTTACGAAAAGATGGCTATGTATATTAAGAAAAATAAGGCAAAATATAAGCCCCGCCCACCAGCCCTATCTCAATTCTGATGATTTTTAAAATTCGTATTGTGCGAGAAATTACCATGTGAAATATATTCTTAAGCAATCGTGTTATAAAAAGAAAACTGTGTTAATTAAAAAAGAAAACCAAAAGAGAAGCCCCACCCACCCATCTCGATCTCAACCGTGAACGAATTTTTCATTCGTTGTCAGACCGCGGGGCGGAGCGTAACAATGCATAAGTACTGACAGAAAGCTACAGTGTAGAAAATGGTGGCAGCTATTTAAAATATGAGGGTTTCGGTGAACAGGTGATTAAATGGGTTAATATTAGTGGACCTCGTTATCTCTCTCAAAATTTGATTTCGTGGAATTAGTGCTGTCAACCAGAAAAATGTTCCCTCTACTTTAGGGGATTTTCCTTCAAGTTTGCAGCGCTGCACACTACCGAAATTTTATTGTTTGAGAACCCAATGTCAACGCCAACGTAGCGGCGAAAGTTTCTGTCTGTCTGCGTCTGTGTCCGTCTGTCTGTCTGTCTACCGTCCCAATTTTTTTTTTGTATGTTTTTGTAGAATGATTCTTCTGTAAGTATTCTCTAGCTGTGCGAGTAAGTTGTTGCACCCCTTGGTGCTTGGTACTCGGGGCGAACCGCCCCCACCGCCCCCTTTTACGCCGCCACTGCATAAACTAACCTGTTCACTATTCCAACACAAATTATTCCATCCCTGGGTGACACACGCTACATGATTATCGAACCCCAGGCTTCGTAGATTGATTCGTAAATTTTTTAAGTTGGTGTAAATTTTGCACTTGCTACACCCGAATTTGCCTGAAGGAAATAATTTTTTAACCAAGGGAAACACTTTAGACGTTTTTAAACAAGATGAAAACAGCTCTGCTTTATTCACTCACTGAATAATTTAGTTAGTAGAAAAACAATTACGTTGTTAAGGTGTTTCATTATTTTTGCATTAAGTCCGTGTACATCCGGACTTGAAGAATTATTCAGATTCTTTCATCTCAAATGCACCTCTTCAAAAGACAAAGAATACCTTGATTGAAGTAGGATTAAGCGTCATCTAGATTAATGTATGTTTGGTTGCATACATCTGTCTAAACGGGTTGTTTTAATTTCTTCTTCCAGAAAGTCGTCCCGCCCGGAAAAACTATAACAAGCTCACCGCCGAGGACGCCCCCCGCACCCACACTGACCACCTCGACAACGTCGAGCCCTGCAAGGAAGACGCGTGTTCGGGTCATGAGGCGAATAACGACACCGACACGGATTCCAGTTTCACAGATATTGAATTAGACGACAGGGATGAGTTCTCCGACGACTCTGACTACGGTAAGTCGTCCCGTTTTTAATCCGCACACATAAATTCCTACAAGTTAGACTTTCGAAAAGACATAAAACGATGTCGGATAATTCGATTTGGGAACGTCAGCTGCGTTTGAAAGCGCCATAAATATTTAAAAATGTATCTCTAGAAGGAAAAATGCAAATAACGCGACCGGCTGCACGAGATACGGGCGTTTTAAGGGATTGCAAGCTGAGGAACGAAACGCTTTAGATGTTTGCTTTAGGAGAAGAGGGAATGTTTGAAATTTTTGCTGAAACTGCAGTTACGAATTCCTTTCTTTCTATAAGGCTGCGGTGGTGTTTAATTCTGGACGTGTTATCGCGTACGGGAAACGCTTAACTATAATTATATTGTGTTATGTAAGAGAAATTTCCATGAAAACCGCAAACCCAATTCTCAAACGCTCTGATTAATTGGTTAAGGATAATCAAAGGGATTCCATGCATAAAGGTCGTACACGTTCCGATCCTGCTGGCGCAAGGTTACGAGGTCGATCCAATTACTCCGAAAATAAATATCTAATTAAAAATAATACTTATCCTGAGGTTGCAACGTTGCTTCTTCTGTCGAATTTGTTCAATTTAGATGACAACGTCATTCGGTTTCCGGGGATCATATTTCAGGAATATTTTCCGCTGGATGAATGCGAGGGGTTCAACGAACGGTGACACTGATCCACAAAAGCGTGCTCTTTTAATCATCAGAACAAATAAAATTCTTACGGATGTATAGCTTTTCAAAACATGTAGATACGTTTAGGGAGCATAGAGCGTTATTATTTCAACAATTTTACTACTGCCCTCAGTCATGTGTTAATCTAAACTTTAATATAGCTGAAACATCTGTCGTATGAGTCGTTAAAACCACATATTAGTTGAAAAGGGTGGATATATAAGTCGTATCCGGCGGTAAAATGGCGTGATAACTGTCACGTCCTCTTTAACACGCATAATAGCGAAAGGATTTTATCACTTTGTTCGTTTTTTACCAAATTAGATCTTTTTTGTACAAGGTACTTCTACATTTTCCAGTTTTGCTTTGCTAGGGTTCAGTTTGTTTGACCATTCCAGAAAGATCTCGATCGCCGAACATCACCTTGATACATTTATTTAGAAATTAATGTATTTAAATTTAGTTGCAAAAAAATTCCACAACTACCTTAAAGATATAAAATTTTTTGGAGATTTGTGTGATAAAGATATTGCCCTAAGCTCCATTCTGATTCAAGATCGTCTCAGAAAAGAAATTCAATCAGTGGAGGACAAAATGACTTAGGACGAAAGTACCTCGACATGGTGGTTTGTGAAAGTCTGCGTAGATGGCCACCAGCTGTTACCACAGATAGACAAGTAAGCAAGGACTTTATAATAGAACCTGTGAAACCAGGAGAGAAAAAACTCCTTTTGGAAAAAGGGATAGTGTGCTGGTTGCCGCTTTTTGCTATCCATAACGATGCCAGATTTTACCCCAACCCGGAAAAGTACGATCCGGAGCGTTTTAGTGAGGAGAAAAAAAGTCACTAAAAATTTTACCATCAAGCCTGAAAGACCAGGGGAAAAAGAAATCCTGTTGGAGACGAATTCTAATAGAGTACAGAACAAATATTTATCGTCGTTTACTGCTGAAAAGGAAAATAACGACTCGTGACAATTATCCCTGGGCTTTGTATGCTTTGCAACAAGTACAATTTGGATGTTTGTTTTAAGATATTTTGTTTGCGAACGACAAAGGAGGGCAGGAAGGATTTCTGGAGCAGAAAAGTGTTTCTTGAACGGGCGATAATATGATTGTAGAAAAAAAATTAAACATATGCAACCCACAACTTACCCATCCAACGACTGACCTTCGAATATATATATATATATATATATATATATATATAATCAACTCCCATCTACCTTTCGGTGTAGGGTTACAAACTAAATAAATACATTGTAATTAAATTAATATTATTAAGTATTCCACTCTTCCCCGTGCACAAATTTACCCCACTCTTTCTTATTTCTTGCCATTTCTTTCGCTTCTATCCATGTTTTCCCTCTCTTGCGTAGACTTTTTTGTATTGTGTTGTTCCATGTCTCTTGGGGTCTTCCTCTGCTTCTTCTTCCTTGAACTTTTGCTTGCCATACTTGTTTAGCGGCTCTATCTGCATTCATTCTCTGTACATGTCCCCACCAACTTAATTGTTTGTTTTCTATTGCGTCCATCAGTTTTTTGCTTTGTAATTGTTCTCTTATTTGGCTACTTCTTATATGATCTCTTAACGTTACTCCTATGACTCGTCTTAGATATTTCATTTCGTTCGCTTCTAGTCTGCTTTTCATTTTTTGTGATAAAACCCACGTCTCGCATCCATACGTTAAAGTAGGTAGGTATATCGTTTTATATACACTCATTTTCGTTTTCTGGCTTATTTCCCTTTTGTTTATGAATGTGTTATTGATTGCGTAGTATAGTTTGTTACATTTTTCGATTCTTTCTGTAATATCTGCCTCTTGTCTCCCTGTATCGTCTATTGTTACCCCCAAATAGTTGAAATGTTTTACTTGTTCTAGCTTCCTTCCATTTATACTTATGTTTATTTGTTTTGTTTGCTTACCTATTGCCATTACTTTAGTTTTTTCTACATTTATTTTCATTTTCTTTCTAGTTAGTTCTTCATCCCATATACTTAAATTCCTTTGTAGGTCTCTTTCGCTTCCCGCGAATATTACTATATCGTCTGCAAATGCGCATTCGGATATGTAGACAGGTAGCATTTCCCTGTATCCTACGTGTAATCTCTTGACGTTGTTGCGGCAGTTCCTCATGATTTCATCAATGAATACTGTAAAGAGTGCTGGGCTCATGACGCCTCCTTGTCTCAATCCCTCATATGTCTTGAATTCTTGTGATACATTGTTATTACTTACTACATAATTCCTGGTGTTTTTATATAAGCTTTTTATTACTTTTATCAGCTTTGGGTTAACGTCCCGCTTGTTTAAGGCGTTCCATACTTCTTCTCTCGGGACTTTGTCAAATGCCTTTTCCAAATCTATATATGCTATAAAGGCTTTTTTGTTATATTCCACTGTTTTTGTTATTACTTGTTTGAGTGTAAAGATATGATCTTGTACACTCCTGCCTTTGCGGAATCCGCTTTGTGCCTCTAACAAACTGGGTTCTATCTTTTTCTTTAATTTTTCCTCCAAAATTATTTCGTAGATTTTTAATGGTATACTTAACAAGGTTATGCCTCTATAATTGTTGCATTGTTTATTATCGCCTTTTTTATGAATCGGCACTATTTGTCCTATCTCCCAATCATCAGGAATCTTCTCCTCTTTCCATAATCTATTGTACAGCTCTAACATCATTATTTTCCCCTCGTTTCCCATCTTCTTAACCATGTCTGCCGTAATCTTGTCATGTCCGGGAGACTTTCCCACTTTTATCTTTTTTATCGCCCACTCTAATTCTTCCTTTGTTATTCCATTACTTTCTTCTTCTTGGACTTCTCTCAGTTCATCTATGCCTCTTTCTTCTACTTTGTCTGTATTTCTCTTGTTTGCTTTAGCCCCTAATAGTTCTTGGAAATACTGCCGCCATCTTTCCATTACTTCCTCTGTTTTCGTTATTATGTTTCCATCTACTCCTTTAATAGTTTCAGCTCTTGCTGTTTTTCCTTTCCTTAGTGTCTTTAGTACTTTGTAGAAAAGTTTCTGGTTGGTTTTGCTGTTAGTTTCAAGTTTTTCTCCAAATTCTTGCCAGGCTTTGTTTTTAGTTTCCTTCACCATGTTCTTTACTATATTTCTTTGCTGCTTGTATTTGTTGTATTTTTCTTCTGTTCTTTTTGTCAGATATTCTTTCCACCTCTTCTTTTTCATTTTTATTTGGTTTTGTATTTCCTCACTCCACCATGCTGTTCTTCTGTTTTTCCTATTCATTTTGCTCACTCCACATACGTCTCTTACTGCTGTTGTCATTATTCTCTTTAATTCTTGCCACATTTGTTCGGTGGACATACTTTTCATGTTGTCTTGTCTTTTGTGTATTTCTTTGTTGATTGCTTCTTCATATTTCTCTGCTACTTCTTGTTCTTGTAATCTGTATGCTTTTAATGTTTCTTGTTGTTCGGTTCTGTGGTCGTGTTTTCTTCCTTCATTCTCATCTTTGTTGTGTTGTTTAATTTTCCCTACTAGTAGAAAATGATCGCTGTCTATCTCTGCTCCTCTCATAACTCTTACATCTTTAATCGCCGTTCTATTACTCTTTTCAACCAATATATAGTCAATAATAGATTTTTCGTTCCTGTTTGCTACTACTCGCGTGTATTTATGTATATCTTTGTGCTCGTAGAAGGTATTGGTTATAATTAGATTATTGCTTGTGCAGTATTCTATCATTCTTTTTCCATTGTAATTTCTCGTTATTTCACCATGTCTTCCTATAACCTTTTCTGTCTCGTTCTTTCTTATTCCCACTCTTGCATTGAGATCTCCTGCTACCAATATTTCTCCCGTGCTGGCCTCTGTAACAATTGTTAAGTCCTCCCAGAATTTGTCTTTTACTTCTTTTTTCTCGTTTTCGTTCGGTCCGTACGCCGCTATAACAGTGGTTTTTTGTTTCCCGATAGTTAATTCTAAAGTTAGCAATCTTTCTGTCCATCCTTTCCAACTTGTGATATTCTTTGCTAATTTTTTGTTTACTATACAACCTACTCCTTCTGTTGCTCTTTTATTATGTTCTACTCCCTGGTATATTAGTATGTGTCCATCTTCTGTTTTAATTTCTCCGTTTCCTTTCTTCTTCGTTTCTGTCAGTACTAGTATGTCTAGGTTTGTTTTGTTGAATTCATAAATAATCTCATTTTCCTTCCCATTCAGACTTCTTGTATTCCATACTCCCAGTTTCCATATGCCATAATCTCGCCGTGTCGTTGCCCTTATCTTCTCCGTAGCCCTCTCTTTTCTTAGTTTTTTGGAGTGGTTATTATTTTACCTGTATTGTCTTCCAGGCACTTTTTCTCTTTATTCCATATGTATTTCTTTCCCTCCACAAACAGCCTCTGATATCCCATTTTTACATTTGAGTTCTTTTTCTTTTCTTCATCTCTTATTTCTTTTATTACTTTTTGTATCTGTCTTTCTCTTTCAGTAAGGTCGCTGGTGATAAATATCTTCCCACTTTGTATGTTGCTTAATTTCCACTTGTGTTCCATTACTTTCAATTTCTGTTGAAATGTTTCCATTTCTATGACTGACCTTCGAATGAGGTAATTATTCGACAAACCTTGATAAGATAACAAAAAAATTGTTCCCAAATAACGACAAAATAATTTTTAAAGGTTTTATTCAGGACAAACTCGGGCACATTTTGTCGGGTGTAACGACACCTTACGTCATTTAACCGGACATAACGCTACTATTTCACAATTTGTGTAAATCTAGCTTGGTTATAATGTTTCATTTCGTCACAAAAGTGTTCCAAAATTATGGAACTAATGTCACACTGTGGATTTCTCTAATTACTTTACTAGTGACCTACATTTACTATGACGTACAAAAAAAAACAAAACTTCTGGAAGAAAATGGGGGTACCCTTTATAAAGCCCCCATTCTTCGTTGGTAGTATGGAAATGATGTCCTCAAAATCACTTGCCGAGAAACTTCAGACTATATATCACACTTACCCCGACGCAAGGTAAATGACTTGTTAACCGCAGCGCCCTCTTGTATCACGTTTTTCATATTTAAGGTGTCATGGTGTTAATCAATTTTCGTCGCCGATTTTAGTGATTAAAGACCCTGATTTGATCAAACAAGTAACAGTGAAAGACTTTGATCACTTTGTCAATCATCGGTCTATGGCAATCCTCGACAATGATCCATTCTGGAGCAAGAACCTTTTTGCCAGTCGTGACGAGAGATGGCGCAATTTAAGATATACCTTAAGTCCCTCTTTTACTAGCAGCAAAATGAAGATCATGTTTAGTTTGATCGACGAGTGTGCGCAACAATTCGTGGACTATTTCAAGAAACAAGACGAAGAGGTGGTTGAACTCGAAGTGAAGGACGCTTTGAGCAGATACACCACTGACGTCATCGCGACTACCGCATTTGGTGTTCGTTGTAACTCGCTACAAGACAAGAAGAATGACTTTTACTTGATGGGGGAAGACGCTAGTAATATTGGTGGACTAAGACTTCTCAAGTTTGTTTTTTACGAAATTAGTCCACTTTTGTGCAAGGTACTTCCACATTTTCCAATTTCGCTTTGCTAGGGTTCGTTGTTTCAGTTGTTACAAGTGAGACTCATTCCGACTAATGTTACCAATTACTTTTCTAAAATAATCGAAGATACGGTTAGAACAAGAAGGGACAAAAATATAGTTCGCCCCGATATGATACAGTTGCTTATGGAAGCCCAAAACAATGATGCCAACAACCAGAATAAACGGGAAATCACGCTCGATGATATTAATTCTCAAGCTTTTATCTTCTTTCTGGCTGGGTTTGAAACGGTTTCCACTTTTCTCACGTTCAGTCTCTACGAACTCGCGCTTAATCGGGATGTTCAGGACCGTCTGCGGCAAGAACTTGACTCGGTGAAGGAAACGATCACGTATGAGACTCTTTTGGGTTTGAAATATCTCGACATGGTTGTTTGTGAAAGTTTACGGAAATGGCCACCAGCTATTGTTACTGATAGACAAGTCACTAAAAATTTTACCATCAAGCCTGAAAAACCAGGGGAAAAGGAAATCCTGTTGGAGAAAGGTCTGACGTGTTGGATACCCATCATTGGACTACACACTGATGCTAAATTTTATCCCAATCCGGAAAAGTTTGACCCGGAAAGATTCAGTGAAGAAAATAAGCACAAGATTAATTCTTCGGCGTACATGCCGTTCGGGACTGGACCTAGGAATTGTATTGGTTCGAGGTTTGCAATTTTGGAAAGCAAACTGATTATTTTCTACATTTTGAGAAATTTTGAGGTTGTACAAATTGAGAAAACGCAAGTCCCGATCGTTCTAGATAAGAAGAAAATTAATCTAGCCGCTCAGGGGGGAGTATGGCTGGGACTTAAAAAAATTAAATAGATACGATTTAACTATTTTAACCTTCAAAATATATAAATTCAAATGTGCTTTTCGTTTTATCTAACCACCCACTCTCAATCTATAAGCTAGTTAAAGCCTCCACTATGTTATCAGTAGAGAGCGGATTTTATGAAATTTGCATATCCTTTATTTTTTGCATATAAGTCTTGATATTTAGTATGTGAACGAATCATGCTAATTAAAAATGAATACAGCTACAAAAAAATTGCATATTTGCATATATTTGCCTTCTGCTGCATATTTCACGTAACGGGTGCATATTTTGCATATTTATCAATTTTTGTGCTAATTAAAAAAAAAGTTATTCTTTTGGCATTTAACTAGAAAGACGAAATTTCATGAATCATTGCAAATATTCTCCTGAGCTTCAAATAACTAGGAAATGTTTGGGTTATATGGTTGTTTGGAGAAATCACTGGGTGTTAAGCCATCCTTCCAGGTAAATTCAGGCCCTAATTACTTTTGGAAACACGGTTCATTCCCAATATTTTTGTTCGTTACTTAAGTGTATTAATGGTGTGTTTTATGGTGGTCGAAGGCACGTTATCCTATTATTTTTCATTGTGAGTTTGCATTGAAAGCATCTAAGGTAATACAGGTGTATCAATATGTCAAAGATAACTTAAATTAATTTATGTATTAAACCTTTTCCTGAACTTATTCTTCAAGAAGGAGCTGTGTTTTATCGTGCCTGCTCTATTTTTTACATCTGTGGACGTAGTATGCAATTTTTCTATTTACAAATACATACTTTAAAATCACGGGAAAACTTTTTGTTAGAATATTCGAAAAATATTTAAAAATAAAGTGTTACCAAAATAGTAATTACATAGTCGATTTTTTAATTTGTTCTGTTTATATTTATTCTGAGTATAAGAATATTACCTTTAAAAATGTGATTTATGTGTTTGTGAGATGTAATCAAACACCTTGCAATGTGATTTATGTATTTTTTGTAATAAAACGTAAGCTCGGGAAACATATTTTTGTAATTTGTAAATACATTTTGTTTGGTTATTACGCTCTCTTTTAATTTTTGGAGCATATGCAACTGCATATCTCTGCATATATTAAGAAAGTTACTGCATATTTGCATAAATTTAGTGCATATCATATGATCATATTTGCCAAAATTTTGCTGCATATTTTCCGCTCTCTAGTTATCAGAATTGCACCGATAAGATGATGATTGCCAGTAAAGTGTTTACTCTACTGATTCCATCATGTTTGTTTCTTGTGAAAATCTGTCCGCATTTTTTGAAATAAATACTATACTATGGCTTACGCTCTTGGTCACCGCCGCCACCTACTTCTACATAGATGTAAAGAACAAACAAAGCTTCTGGAAGAAAAAAGGAGTACCATACATCGAACCAACCTTTCTTTTGGGAAGTGTGGAACTTAACCGAACAAAATCGTTTGCTGAATCTATTCAAGACGCATATAATGTTTATCCTGACGAAAGGTGACTAGCCAAAAAAGCACACTAAATTCATCTGAAATACTTTTCCAGATACCACGGAATCTACCAATTCACTTCTCCTTCTTTAATCATCAAAGATCCCGATTTGATTAAACAAATAACCGTGAAACACTTCGACCATTTCGTCAACCACCGAGAAGTGACAAGTGCAGACGCTGATCCTTTCTGGAGCAAGAACCTTTTTGCTAGCAGGGACGAAAGATGGCGCGATTTAAGATCTACCTTAAGTCCCTCTTTCACTAGCAGCAAAATGAAGATCATGTTTAATTTAATAGATGAGTGTGCCCAACAGTTCATCCAACACTTCAAGGAACAACAACAAAAGGTCGTTGAACTGGAAATGAAAGACACTCTAAGCCGATACACCAATGACGTCATCGCAACCGCTGCCTTTGGTCTACAATGCAACTCACTAAAAGATCGGGAGAACGATTTCTACCTGATGGGGAAAGACGCCAATGACTTTAGTGGGTTAAGAATCTTCAAGTTTTTGCTTTACGCAATAAGTTCGACCCTGTCAAAGGTGATTTTTTCCTCTACTAAATCAAATATTTGTTCTTGTGTCTTCTAGTGGCTAAAAATAAAAATATCCCCGCCAACGTCACGGATTACTTTTGCCAGATCATTGAAAACACGGTCCATATAAGAAAAGAAAGAAACATCGTACGTCCTGACATGATCCACTTACTCTTAGAAGCCCAAAAGGGTCGTCAAAACCATGAAGAAACCTTTGGAATAAGTGAAGGCTTCTCTAGTGTGTCCGACTCTGAGTTAACTAAGAATCGGCGCAAACAAGAAATAACACTCGACGATATCAATTCCCAGGCCTTTGTCTTTTTTTTTTGGCAGGGTTTGAAACGGTGTCCACTTTCCTTACTTTCACACTCTACGAACTAGCCCTAAACCCTCAGATTCAAGATCGTCTAAGAAAAGAGATTCAGTCAGTGGAAGGCAAAATGACTTACGACAAACTCCTAGGACTAAATACCTCGACATGGTGGTTTGTGAAAGTCTGCGTAAGTGGCCACCAGCTGTTACCACAGATAGACAAGTAAGCAAGGACTTTATAATAGAACCTGTGAAACCAGGAGAGAAAAAACTCCTTCTGGAAAAGGGCGCAGTATGCTGGTTGCCGGTTTTTGCTATCCATAATGACGCCAGATTTTACCCCAATCCAGAAAAGTTCGATCCGGAGCGTTTTAGTGAGGAAAACAAACACAAGATTAACCCGTCTGTGTATATCCCGTTTGGGTATGGGCCCAGGAATTGCATAGGTTCTAGGTTCGCACTGTTGGAAGGAAAGTTGCTTCTTTCTTACATTCTCAAGAATTTTGAGGTGGTCAAAACCGGAAAGACCAAGATTCCGGTGGTTTTAGATAAGACGCAGATCAATCTAGCGTCTGAGGGAGGAATGTGGTTGGGTTTCAAAAAATTTTAAAAGTAAAGACTTACATGTACTATAAATAAAATACTGCGTGTTGGAAAATTAACTCGTTTTATTATCTAACACGATAAGATAACTAGATTGCTAGATGCACATTTCTTGTCATTTGTGCTTTCGTAATGGTCCTGTTACTTGCATTTTTGATCCCGTTTTTGGGAAAAGAAGGCACGATTTGGCTAGTACTAGTCTTATCTATTGTCGCGTAATTTTCGTACAATGTAAGAAAAAAACCATCATATTGGAAAAAAAAGGAATTAAACACGCAAAACCGAAATTTCTGCTTGGTAACATAGAAATCATCCGCTCGAAACCATTCTCTGAGAAGACTCTAGAAATATACAACGACTTCCCGGACGAAATAATAAATTATTACTACCATCTACAGTTCCATAACCATTCAAGGTACTACGGAGCTTACCAATTCACCGAACCCATTCTGGTGGTCAGAGACCCAGACCTAATCAAGCAAATCACAGTAAAACAATTCGACCATTTCGTCAACCATCGCGTTTTGGCTAGCCCCGAAGCAGATCCATTCTTTAGCAAAAACCTGATCTCAAGCCGGGACGAAAGATGGCGCGATTTGAGGGCCACGTTAAGTCCGTCTTTCACCAGCAACAAAATGCGATTCATGTACACGTTGATCGATGAGTGTGCACAACAATTCATTGACCATTTCCGAAAAGAAGAAGGAGAAATAATAGAACTAGAAATGAAAGATACCTTGACCAGATACACCAACGACATCATCGCAACTACCGCTTTTGGTGTCCAATGCAATTCACTGAAAGACAGAAACAACCACTTTTATCTCATGGGAAAGGACGGTTCCGATTTTGGGGGGTTGAGGTCTTTAAATAATAATAATAATAATAATAATAATAATAATACTTTATTTCCTTTAAGACAACATTTACATTGTATAGGACACGTCAATAAGTACAAAAAAAACAATACACTCGCCAATCGCATCACAAAATAATAATTAGACAACACAATTAAAGAATTCTCCTAGACTATAAAACGCATTGTCTACTAGAAATATTTTAAGTTCCTTCTTAAACTTCGCAACAGTTTCGCAAGTCCCAATCCTGGTTGGCAATTTATTGAAAATTTTTGGACCTAAATAGCGCAAAGAATTTAAACAAATATTGTATCTGGTACACGGCACGGTAAGGTTGTTAATTTGTCTTGTGTTATAACTATGAGTTTGTCGTACAGTTGGTATTGTATTTTTGTTTGCATAAGTATAAATCGCCATCTCAAAAATAATCAAGAATGTCAAGGTTAAAATTTTATATTTTCTAAAAATATTTCTACAGATATCGGTTTTCCTTAGTCCAAAGATCGTTCTTAAAACTTTTTTTTGTGTTACAAAAACATCAGATGCCATAGTTGAACATCCCCACAGACATATCCCATACCTCATCCTAGAATCCACCTGCGCATAATACAAACATAAAAGTTGTGGTTTCGACAAATAAGATCTTAATGTACGAAACATATGCACACACTTTGATAGCTTAGAAATAAGACTTTCACAATGGCTGTTCCATGTAAAGCAATGGTCAAAAATCACTCCGAGAAATTTTACCTCATCAACATTATTAATTCCAGTGCCATTTACTTTCAAAGATATATTTTCGCATCTTTTTTGTCGAACGTGGAAGCGAACACACTGAGTTTTATCTGTATTCAAGAATAATGAATTATCACAAAACCAGTTAGAAACTTCATTCAGTACCCTCTGCGACTTCTCTTCTATCTTGACATTTTGTTTGTCTGAGATTACGATTGATGTGTCATCTGCGTAAATCGCAAATGATCCTTCCCCCGCAATACTATCTAAATCATTCACATATAACACGAATAAAATTGGTCCAACAATCGAACCTTGTGGAACGCCGACATTAATATTTTGCATATTAGAATTAGTTGCTGTAACAATATTATGATTATTCTTGCTTGTTATACTAACATATTGTTTTCTGTCATGTAAGTATGTCTTTATCCAGTCTAAAGCGTTGCCACGAATGCCAATCCGATCTAATTTAATGAATAATCTTTCATGACTTACGCAGTCGAATGCCCTGCTGAGGTCACAAAATACTCCAACCGGGCACTCGCCTTCATTAATAAACTCCAATAAGTTCTCATGATATTTTTGTAATGCTGTTGCCGTGGATCGTCCCAAACGAAACCCATGTTGCCTATCTGATAAAATTGATAACTTATTAATGTAACCTAGGAGTCTCTGAACAAAACAGTATTCAAAAACTTTAGAAAATCCTGATGTTATTGTTACGGGTCTATAGTTTTCCATCAGCTGGGGGTTATTTTTTTTAAATATAGGTATTACTTTGCTGGTTTTGAGTAAGTTAGGAAATTTCCCTGAACTGAAAGACAAATTAACTAAATAAGTAAGTTGATTGGCAATAGTTGTTATACTACGTTTTATAATACACAAAGGAATATCGTCTAGTCCTGCTGAGCTCTTGTTTTTCATTTTTGTCAATAACAAGTTAACTAATTCTTGCGAGTGAAAAGGAGTTAGATAAATTGAACTTTCTTTTGATGATGGAAAATTTATTCGATTTTTATTATCGTTTTGCTTGGATGGAATCTGATTAATAACATTCTCTGTAGCATCTTTGAAAAAATTATTAAATGCGTTAGCAATTAATTTTGGTTGTGTAAGCTGGATACCATTTCTTTCAATTTCTATGTCATTCACCTTCTTGTCTCGTCCAGAAGCTTGTGCAATTACACGCCATGCCGTTTTAGATGGATCTTTGGACATAAAGATTTTGTTTTGAAAATATTTTTTTTTTGTTGATGCAACAAGTTGAAAGTGATCTTTTTTTGCTTCTTTATAGACTTCGTTTAACTCGAAATTTCTACATTTGTGAATGTAAAGATCTTTAAGTTTCAAGCTAGATAGCTTCACGTCATCATTTACCCAATTTTTGTGAAGAGCATTCTCAAAATATAATTTTTTAGGAAAGTATATATCGAAATAATACTGAAATGTATTTATAAAATATTCAAAAGCGTAATCTATATTCCCGATTTTGTAGAAATCATTCCAATTCATTTGAGAAAGAGACGTTAAAAAATTCACGATGGCTTCCTGGTCATTTATGTTCCGCTTAAAGAATTTTTGAGATACCGGTTTATATTGCAAAGCGGGTAGATTATACAAAATTGTTCTATGGTCAGAAATATTGTTGTCATTTACACCAGACCAATTATTATCAAACGTCCATAAATTAGAATAGAGAAGGTCTATGGTAGATGCAGAATTATTCTTCACCCGTGTAGGGTTTGTTAAGTGTAATCCAAGATTGAAACTTGTAAACACGCTGCTAAGCAATCTAAGATTTTTACTATCTACCTTTGCGTCAATATTAAAATCACCGCAGCATATAATTTTTAACTTAGGTTTAAAACACAAATTTAACACATTGTAAAGTTGGTCACAAAACATACTAACATCTCCAGTTGGAGATCGATAACAACTAAACAATAATAAGGTATTATTAGAGTCTAACTTGCAGGAAATTCCACAGATTTCAAAATTTTTGTCCATACAAAAATGATCTAATTTGATAGCTTGTACGTTTAGTCCTTTGGCACACCAAATAGCAACGCCACCTCCGATCACAGACTTCCTACAGTAATAAGATACTAGACTGTAATTACTAAAACTAAAACTACTAATTGAGGTATCGGTAGCCCAGGTTTCAGTTAGACAGATAAATTTAATATTTCCGCTATATGCATTCAATATTAATTCTAATTCGTTACATTTATCTACACTTAAACTTCTAACATTTAACAATAAATAATTAGGATTCCCTATTTTATTCTCTAAAAGTTCCGGCCTTACGAAAAAATCTGTACTGCTTAACAATAATACGTTCTGGCCACTTACCGGGATCAGACAGTTGTGTTAGTAATTCATTGTCAAATTGAGTGCTAACTTTAAAGGAAGCGTTAGTACCTTTAGAATCCAGTTTAGTTACCGCAAATTGATTGTGAGGCCAATTTTCGTTCCATACATTCCATACTACTTCCATACATAAAATTCTTTATGTATGGAAGTAGTCCAACTCTATTCAAGGTATATTTAAGAAACGTGATTAGGTTAGTACAGAATATTTCAGCTTCTGAAGATAAAACTCGTTCCCACGTACATTGTCAACTTCTTTTCGAAGATTATAGAAGATACGATGACCACGAGAAAAGAGAAAAAAATTGTTCGCCCGGATATGATTCACCTACTACTAGAAGCGCAAAAGAGACGTTACGAAGATACCAAAATCAATGAAGATTTTTCAGAGCTCGAAGAGAGCAAAAACCGTCAAAAACAAGAAATCACTCTTGAAGATATCTGTTCGCAAGCCTTCGTTTTCTTCCTTGCGGGTTTTGAATCAGTCGCCACGTTTCTAACTTTTGCATTTTACGAACTGGCTGTGAATCCAGACATTCAAAAACGTCTTCGTGAAGAAGTACAAACTGTGGAAGGAAAAATCACCTACGAAGCTCTTCTTGGTTTAAAATACATGGACATGGTTGTTTCCGAGGTTCTAAGAAAGTGGCCACCGGCGATTTTAACCGACCGAGAAATAAACAAAAAGTTTACAATCCAACCGAAAAAACCAGACGAAAAACCCTTGTTCTAGAAGAAGGTATGAACTGTTGGATTCCCATATTTGCGATTCATAGGGACGAAAAGTTTTATCCTGATCCTGAGAAATTTGGTCCCGAAAGATTCAACGATGAGAATAAAGCCACACTTAACCCGTCCGTGTATTTACCGTTTGGTGCAGGACCCAGAAATTGTATAGGTTCCAGGTTTGCTCTGTTGGAAGGAAAGGTGGTTTTAGATAAGAATATAGTGAATCCAGCGGCTGAAGGAGGAATGTGCTTGGGTTTCAAACACTTATAATTAGAAGTGTTTTGTACTAGTTTGAAGTACCTATTAAATACAAGTAATTTCACTTGATTTTTTATCTATAGTGGTTAGATAGTCGTCTGGAGCGTCATCGCAAATATTTCGTAGCCTGAGAACTTGTTTGATCTACAGACCAGACCGCACTCAGGCCAATATCGACTCTATGCGATTTATCTATAAGGCGACTTTCGTTAGAGCTGATCTGCAGAAAAGAGAAACAAATCGTCCGACCAGACAGGATTCATCCACTCCTACAAGTAACTAAAACACAATCGAACCCAAAAAACCCGTCGAACAACCCTTCATTTTTTTAGAAGAGGGTGTCATTTGCTTTCTCTTTTTGCGATTCCCAGGGATGACAGATTTTACCCCGAACTTGAGCAATCTGATGAGAACAAACACAAAATTAATCCTTCGTGTATTTACCTTTTGGTGAGGGACCCAGAAACTGTATTGGTTCTAGGTTCACCCTCCTGGAAAGCAAACCGATTATCTATCACGTTCATCGCGGGTTAAAAAAAAGAGTTTTAAATTGGCATATACTAAAAATAGTAAAGGTTGCAAATTTTCGTGAATAAGTTTAATGCTTTCGCGCTTCCTCTTGTTTTGATGTTTCACTCCGAAACGTCGAAACCTTTATATCCATTACTCGTATTTGCATGTAGTGACTCTAGAGAAACAGAACAAGGAAGTTCACTCAGCTCTGCTCGCTTCAAGTTAATTTACTTCCTAGCGCTGGAATCCTCAAGATCCTTTTTGTTTAAATTCCAAATTAAATTTTATCGACTTTCTCGTCTCATCGCATTTTTGCATAAAACGCATCATTTAGCCGTAATTTTCCACTTAACGACGCCCGAACTTAAATCGCACCTGCAATTACTATTAACTGCTCTTCTGGAACTTGAAAGATAATCGTTCGAGTGATGCTTCTTGGATACTTCGTCTTGGTTGTGAAATACGACAATTAAGAGGTTATCTCGTTCGCTGAGTGCATGAATTTCGGCCATAAATTGGAAACGTTTTTTGGGAACGTCGCCGTTAATTGCGATAGGTATAATTGTTTCAGTTTGAGAGGATTAGGAGAGTTGAAATAGAACAGTTGTTACTCCCACGTCGGCTATTGTTCAGTTTGACATTCCCTTTCACAAATAACTTCACAACTTTGGAGAGACTGAAATTCGCCACCGGAATGGAATCGGATTATCGGTTTCCCAGTTGGAATGTCGTTAATCGACAATAAATAAAGCAATTTAGCGGGATTAAATGGGTTCGACTTTTCATTAAGACGGAAAAATCTCATTTGAGGAATTTTTCCACGGTCGTATACCTTACACCTTTTATTAAATAAGACAAAATCCGCCGGCCCCTACATTGATTTTTTAATACTTTTCCGTTCCCTTTCGTATTAATATTTACCAGATTTTCATATTTTGAAGGGTAGGGTGTTTAACGCAGATGCTAGTTCTTCTCTATTCAGTCCTATAATGTTTCCCGTTCCCCACCGATCGAAAAAATCGCCCCCGATTTCTTTCAGTTCGTCAGCTCTTAATAATAACGCAGCTGAGGTGTTTGCTCTCGAGCAAATTGGATCAGTATATGGAGAAAAAAGCGTAATTTGGGGAGATTTCAGTTGTGATGTCGGCCTCAGGCATTTGGGAATCGTTTAAAATTAAATATTAAGTTGTGTGGGTGAGGATTTGATTGAGGGAGTGTTCGGCTCTTTGTCGGACGAGGAGACTTCATTCAACTCGGTTTTATTCAACAATACAACAAAATTGGAAGCGCTCTGTGTTTGCGGAGTTAATGTATGCAACAATGGTAGACCATTTGCTAGTTTCGTCGTGACGACCAATCGATAAACGTACAGGGACGGATGCACAGGGGAGAAATGACGCAAAGTGGGGAATGGATAATAAGGCGTTTTTGCGAGTTGTGGCTCTATAAATAAGCAAAGCAAAATTAAAAAAGTTGAGTGTTTAATGGAGCTTTGTTGCGATGCGAGGACGTGCGGTTGCCCAGCTGCAAAAAAACAGAAGTGAGCTTTAAATATCATTTTGGGGCGGCTGGGTTGTAATTTGTCGACAAGCGACTGATTCGTTTAAAATAACTTAAATTATTTAACGACAGTGTAGCGTGTTAATTTTGTAAACGGTCTCCGTAGGACGGACCAACTTCATCGTACGTAATTTGATAGCCAACTATAAATATATTTCCGAATTAAGGATGAAGTTAAATTGAATAAACTTGTCCTTTCCGACTGTTTTATATCCATTTAACTTCGGCAACACGAACACCGCTCATCTCTGGATACGTGTAGCATTAAAGTCCAGAAAAACTTTGACGGGTTTCATGTCCCAGCATAACCAGAGATTACAGGAAACTATCCTGGATGTCGAGTCACGTTTCCTGTTAAGGATGACGAAGGACCGTAGTGGCGAAGTTGTGTCGGCGATTTGTTCTAACGAGGATGTAATGTGTCGACTTACGACCTCAAAAATCATTAAACTCTGCTCATTTGGAAACTTTATTGTTTTTAATGTAAGCCAATTTAAGAGTCAATTTTTTTTAATCCCAGCCACATCCCGCCCTCCGCCGTGATGTTGAACTGATATTTATCCAGAATAACCGGGTTTGGTGTCTTCTCCACTTGAACCAACTCGAAGTTCCTCAGGACGTGATAGATAAGCAGTTTGCTTTCCAGGAGAGCGAACCTAGAACCAATACAGTTTCTGGGTCCCGTACCAAAAGGTAAATACGCCGAAGGATTAATTTTGTGTTTGTTCTCATCGCTGAATCTCTCGGGATCGAATTGCTCAGGATCAGGATAAAACTTCTCATCCCTGTGAATCGCAAAAATGGGGAGCATACAGGCGACACCCTCCTCTAAAACGAGCGGTCGTTCGCCGGGTTTTTTGGGTTGGATTGTGATTTGTTTATTTACTTCTCGATCGGTTAAAATTGCCGGTGGCCACTTCCTTAGAACTTCGGAGACGACCATGTCGAGGTATTTCAACCCGAGGAGAGTTTCGTAGGTGATTTTTCCTTCCACTGTTTGTAGTTCTTCGCGTAGACGACTTTGTATCTCCGGATTTACGGTCAATTCGTAGAACGCGAAAGTTAGAAAAGTTGAGACTGTTTCGAACCCTGCAAGGAAGAAAATGAAGGCTTGTGAACAGATATCTTCAAGAGTGATTTCTTGTTTTTGAGGGTTTTTTGTCACTTCGAACTCAGGCACGCTGGAGAAACCTTCACTGACTTTGGTGTCTTCGTCCTGGTGATGACGACCTTTTTGAGCTTCCAGAAGTAGATGTATCATGTCTGGTCGGACGATTTGTTTCTCTCTTCTGGTCTTCACTGTGTCTTCTATAATCTTAGAAAAATACTTGGCGATGTTTCCAGGAATGACTTTTAGGTTCAAAAGCTGAAACATTTTTTTGTGACAGGGTAACTACATTACGTTACATACCTTGCACAAAGCGGGACTAACTCCATAGACGAACAACTTAAGACTTCGCCAAAACCCAAAGTCAGAACCTACTTTTCCCATGCGATAGAAATCGTTATTTCGTTCTTTAAGCGAGTTGCACCGAAGACCAAAAGCGGCAGTTGCGATGACGTCATTCGTGTATCTTCTCAAGGTGTCTTTCATTTCTAGTTCCACTGTTACGTCTTTTTCTTTTTTGAAGTGGTCAACGAATTGTTGTGCACACTCATCGATTAACGTATACATGATTCGCATTTTGCTACTGGTGAAAGAAGGGCTCAGAGTGGTTCTTAAATCACGCCATCTTTCGTCTCTGCTTGCGAACAGATTTTTGTTCCAGAATGGGTCTGTGTCGGTGCTGACAAAATTGCGATGGTTGACAAAATGGTCGAATTCTTTAACTGTGATTTGTTTGATCAGGTCGGGGTCTTTAAGCATGAGAGTTGGCACGGTGAATTGGTACATTCCATGGTATCTTAACAAATGGTGGAACTGTAGTGGTAGTACTAAGACGGTATGACTTACCTGTCGTCCGGAAACTTCTTGTATATATCTTGAGTCGTCTCGGCGAACGATTTCGAACGGATGATTGGTATATTTCCGATCAGGATCTTAGGTTTCACATACTGGACTCCTTTTCTTTTCCAGTACGATTGTTTTTTCTTTATATGGTATAACACGTATGCGACTATCGACACAGCTAGAAGAAGCCATACCATCCCTTCTTTTCCCAAAAATGGGAGCAAAAACGCAATGAATAGAACCATGACAACAGTAATCACAATTATGTGCGATGATGTTCCAAACGGCTATCTAATCGCCTTAGATAAAAACTAAGTGAAATTCTTTGTATTTAATAGGTACTTCAAACTAATACAAAACAATTTTGTTTATAACTTTTTGAAACCCAACCACATTCCTCCTTCAGCCGCTGGATTAACCATTTTCTTATCTAAAACCACCGGAATCTTCGTCTTTCCAGTCGTAACCACCTCAAAATTCTTCAATACGTAATAAAGAAGCAACTTTCCTTCCAACAGAGCAAATCTGGAACCTATACAATTCCTGGGTCCTGCACCAAACGGTAAATACACGGACGGGTTAATTGTGGCTTTATTCTCCTCGTTGAATCTCTCGGGATCAAATTTCTCAGGATCAGGATAAAACTTTTCGTCCCTATGAATCGCAAATATGGGAATCCAGCAGTTCATACCTTCTTCTAGGACAAGGGTTTTTTCGTCTGGTTTTTTCGGTTGGATTGTAAACTTTTTATTTATTTCTCGGTCGGTTAAAATCGCCGGTGGCCACTTTCTTAGAACCTCGGAAACAACCATGTCCATGTATTTTAAACCAAGAAGAGCTTCGTAGGTGATTTTTCCGTCAACTATTTGTACTTCGTCACGAAGACGTTTTTGAATGTCTGGATTCACAGCCAGTTCGTAAAATGCAAAAGTTAGAAACGTGGCGACTGATTCAAAACCCGCAAGGAAGAAAACGAAGGCTTGTGAACAGATATCTTCAAGAGTGATTTCTTGTTTTTGACGGTTTTTGCTCTCTTCGAGCTCGGAAAAATCTTCGTTGGTCTTGGTATCTTCATGACGCCGCTTTTGCGCTTCTAGTAGTAGGTGAATCATATCCGGGCGAACAATTTTTTTCTCTTTTCTCGTGGTCACCGTATCTTCTATAATCTTCGAAAAGAAGTTGACGATGTACGTGGGAACGAGTTTTATCTTCAGCAGCTGAAATATCATTCTGTACTAACCTAATCACGTTTCTTAAACATACCTTGAATAGAGTAGGACTACTTCCATACATAAAGAATTTAAAGGACCTCAACCCCCCAAAATTGGAACCGTCCTTTCCCATGAGATAGAAGTCGTTGTTTCTGTCTTTCAGTGAATTGCACTGAAGACCAAAAGCGGTAGTTGCGATGACGTCGTTGGTGTATCTGGTCAAGGTGTCTTTCATTTCTAGTTCTATTATTTCGCCTTCTTCTTTCCGGAAATGGTCAATGAATTGTTGTGCACACTCATCGATCAACGTGTACATGAATCGCATTTTGCTGCTGGTGAAAGACGGACTTAACGTGGCCCTCAAATCGCGCCATCTTTCGTCCCGGCTTGAGATCAGGTTTTTGCTGAAGAATGGATCTGCTTCGGGGCTAGCCAAAACGCGATGATTGACGAAATGGTCGAATTGTTTTACTGTGATTTGCTTGATTAGGTCTGGGTCTTTGACCACCAGAACGGGTTCGGTGAATTGGTAAGCTCCGTAGTACCTTGAATGGTTATGGAACCGTAGATGGTAGTAATAATTTATTATGACCTACCTTTCGTCCGGGAAGTCGTTGTATATTTCTAGAATCTTCTCAGAGAATGGTTTCGACCGGATGATTTCTATGTTACCAAGCAGAAATTTCGGTTTCGCGTGTTTAATCCCTTTTTTCTTCCAGTATGATTGTTTTTTCCTTACATTGTACGAAAAGTACGCGACTATGGATAAAACTAGAACTAGCCAAATCGTGCCTTCTTTTCCCAAAAACGGGATCAGAAACGCAAGTAATAGGACCATTATGAAAGCATGAATAACAGCGAGTGTGTATCTATCGATCTAGTCTAGTTATCTTATCGCATTAGATAATAATAAAACGAGTTAATTTTCTAACACGCAATATTTTATTTATAGTACATGTAAGTCTTTACTTTTAAAGTTTTTTGAAACCCAACCACATTCCTCCCTCAGACGCTAGATTGATTTGCGTCTTATCTAAAACCACCGGAATCTTGGTCTTCCCGGTTTTGACCACCTCAAAATTCTTGAGAATGTAAGAAAGAAGCAACTTTCCTTCCAATAGCGCAAACCTAGAACCTATGCAATTCCTGGGCCCAGACCCAAACGGGATATACATAGACGGGTTAATCTTGTTTTTGTTCTCCTCACTAAAACGCTCCGGATCGAACTTTTCTGGATTGGGGTAAAATTTGGCATCATTATGGATAGCAAAAACCGGCAACCAGCAGACTGCGCCCTTTTCCAGAAGGAGTTTTTTCTCTCCTGGTTTCACAGGTTCTATTATAAAGTCCTTGCTTACTTGTCTATCTGTGGTAACAGCTGGTGGCCATCTACGCAGACTTTCACAAACCACCATGTCGAGGTACTTTAGTCCTAGGACTTTGTCGTAAGTCATTTTGCCCTCCACTGATTGAATTTCTTTTCTTAGACGATCTTGAATCTGAGGGTTGAGGGCTAGTTCGTACAGTGTGAAAGTAAGGAAAGTGGACACCGTTTCAAACCCTGCCAAAAAAAAGACAAAGGCCTGGGAATTGATATCGTCGAGTGTTATTTCTTGTTTGCGCCGATTCTTAGTTAACTCGGAGTCGGACACACTAGAGAAGCCTTCATTAATTTCAGAGGTTTCTTCATGGTTTTGACGACCCTTTTGGGCTTCTAAGAGTAAGTGGATCATGTCAGGACGTACGATGTTTCTTTCTTTCCTTATATGGACCGAGTTTTCAATGATCTGGCAAAAGTAATCCGTGACGTTGGCTGGGATAATTTTTATTTTTAGCCACTAGAACACACAAGAACAAATATTTGATTTAGTACAGAGAAAAAAATCACCTTTGACAGGGTCGGACTTATTGCGTAAAGCAAAAACTTGAAGATTCTTAACCCACTAAAGTCATTGGCGTCTTTCCCCATCAGGTAGAAATCGTTCTCCCGATCTTTTAGTGAGTTGCATTGTAGACCAAAGGCAGCGGTTGCGATGACGTCATTGGTGTATCGGCTTAGAGTGTCTTTCATTTCCAGTTCAACGACCTCTTGTTGTTGTTCCTTGAAGTGTTGGATGAACTGTTGGGCACACTCATCTATTAAATTAAACATGATCTTCATTTTGCTGCTAGTGAAAGAGGGACTTAAGGTAGATCTTAAATCGCGCCATCTTTCGTCCCTACTAGCAAAAAGGTTCTTGCTCCAGAAAGGATCAGCGTCTGCACTTGTCACTTCTCGGTGGTTGACGAAATGGTCGAAGTGTTTCACGGTTATTTGTTTAATCAAATCGGGATCTTTGATGATTAAAGAAGGAGACGTGAATTGGTAGATTCCGTGGTATCTGGAAAAATATTTCAGACGAATTTAGTGTGCTTCTTTGGCTTATAGTCACCTTTCGTCGGGATAAACATTATATGCGTCTTGAATAGATTCAGCAAACGATTTTGTTCGGTTAAGTTCCACACTTCCCAAAAGAAATGCTGGTTCGATGTATGGTACTCCTTTTTTCTTCCAGAAGCTTTGTTTGTTCTTTACATCTATGTAGAAGTAGGTGGCGGCGGTGACCAAGAGCGTAAGCCATAATATAGTATTTATTTCAAAAAATGCGGACAGATTTTCACAAGAAACAAACATGATCGAAACAGTAGAGTAAACACTTTACTGCAATCATCATCTTATCGGTGCAATTCTGATAACAGAGTGGAGGCTTTAACTAGCTTATAGATTGAGAGTGGGTGGTTAGATAAAACGAAAAGCACATTTTAATTTATATATTTTGAAGGTTAAAATAGTTAAATCGTATCTATTTAATTTTTTTAAGTCCCAGCCATACTCCCCCTTGAGCGGCTAGATTCATTTTCTTCTTATCCAGAACCATCGGAACTTGCGTTTTCTCAATTTGTACAACTTCAAAATTTCTCAAAATGTAGAAAATAATCAGTTTGCTTTCTAAAATTGCAAACCTCGAACCAATACAATTCCTAGGTCCAGCCCCGAACGGCATGTACACCGAAGAATGAATCTTATGCTTATTTTCTTCACTGAATCTTTCCGGGTCAAACTTTTCCGGATTGGGATAAAATTTAGCATTAGTGTGTAGTCCAATGATGGGTATCCAACACGTCAGACCTTTCTCCAACAGGATTTCCTTTTCCCCTGGTTTTTCAGGCTCGATGGTAAAATTTTTAGTGACTTGTCTATCAGTAACAATAGCCGGTGGCCACTTCCGTAAACTTTCACAAACAACCATGTCGAGATATTTCAAACCCAAAAGAGTTTCATACGTGATCGTTTCCTTCACCGAGTCAAGTTCTTGTCGCAGACGGTCCTGAACATCCCGATTAAGCGCGAGTTCGTAGAGAGTGAACGTCAGAAAAGTGGAAACCGTTTCAAACCCAGCCAGAAAGAAGATAAAAGCTTGAGAATTAATATCATCGAGGGTGATTTCCCGTTTATTCTGGTTGTTGGCATCATTGTTTTGGGCTTCCATAAGCAACTGTATCATATCGGGGCGAACTATATTTTTGTCCCTTCTTGTTCTAACCGTATCTTCGATTATTTTTGAAAAGTAGTTGGTAACATTAGTTGGGATGATTCTGACTTGTAACAACTGAAACAAACTCAACCCTATCAAAGCGAAATTGGAAAATGTAGAAGTACCTTGCACAAAAACGGACTAATTTCGTAAAAAACAAACTTGAGAAGTCTTAGTCCACCAATATTGCTAGCGTCTTCCCCCATCACGTAAAAGTCATTCTTCTTGTCTTGTAGTGAGTTACAACGAACACCAAATGCGGTAGTCGCGATGACGTCAGTGGTGTATCTGCTCAAAGCGTCCTTCACTTCAAGTTCAACCACCTCTTCGTCTTGTTTCTTGAAATAGTCCACGAATTGTTGCGCACACTCGTCGATCAAACTAAACATGATCTTCATTTTGCTGCTAGTAAAAGAGGGACTTAAGGTAGATCTTAAATTGCGCCATCTCTCGTCACGACTGGCAAAAAGGTTCTTGCTCCAGAACGGGTCATTGTCGAGGATTGCCATAGACCGATGATTGACAAAGTGATCAAAGTCTTTCACTGTTACTTGTTTGATCAAATCAGGGTCTTTAATCACTAAAATCGGCGACGAAAATTGATTAACACCGTGGCACCTTAAATGTTTAAAACGTGATACAAGGGGGCGCTACGGTTAACAAGTCATTTACCTTGCGTCGGGGTAAGTGCGATATATAGTCTGAAGTTTCTCGGCAAGTGATTTTGAGGACATCATTTCCAAACTACCGACGAAGAATCGGGGCTTTATAAAGGGTACCCCCATTTTTTCCCAAAAGTTTTGTTTTTTTCGTACGTCATAGTAAATGTAGGTCACTAGTAAAGTAATTAGAGAAATCCACAGTGTGACATTAGTTCCATAATTTTGGAACACTTTTGTGACGAAATGAAACATTATAACCAAGCTAGACTTACACAAATTGTGAAATAGTAGCGTTACGTCCGGTTAAATGACGTAAGGTGTCGTTACACCCGACAAAATGTGCCCGAGTTTGTCGTGAATAAAACCTTTAAAAATGATTTTCTCGTTATTTGCGAACAATTTTTTTGTTATATCTAGGTATTTACTACTATCTTATCAAGGTTTGGCGAATAATTACGTCATTCGTTGTGGGTTGCATATGTTTAATTTTGTTTCTACAATCATATTATCGCACGTTCAAGAAACACTTTTCTGCTCCAGAAATCCTTCCTGCCCTCCTTTGTCGTTCGCAAACAAAATATCTTAAAGCAAACATTCAAATTGTACTTGTTGCAAAGCATACAAAGCCCAGGGATAATTGTCACGAGTCGTTATTTTCCTTTTCAGCAGTAAACGACGATAAATATTTGTTCTGTACTCTATTAGAATTCGTCTCGATCGATATTTAATTCGGATTTTCTGGTTGCGGCGGTATCGGAGCGATAATCCGTTGATATCGTCGATGTGCGCTTGATTAGCTCCCCGGAATTCGTCGCCGCCGATTTAATTATAAGTGATAAGGCGGATTTTTCGCCCAACTCGGAAGAGTTGCGAACTTTCGCTCGTAATGGTGGAATAATGAAGCGAGCGGGGGTTTTATTAGGGGTGCTTTGACTTGTTAGTGGTCAGTAAGAGGATTTCGGAAGGGCTGCACATGAAAGTTTGCGGAGTAGTGGGTTAATTGCGAACGAGAGGTTAGTTTTATGAAAGTCAAAAAATGGGGGTGTATCCTACCGACTGTGCCATTTACGGGACCTATCGATTTTGTTTGTAGACGAAAAGGAAATTGTGTTGCTGATAGCAACTGAGGTAGTTGATTTGAAGCACGTTTGTATCGAAATAACAAGAGAAAGTTGCTTTCTTGAGGGTCGACGAGTGAAATACATTAGTGTTTGTTTTTTGCGTTCCACGAAAACAATAAAACTTCCTTTTTGTTTCAAGTCAGCGCGTGTGCCATTAACAAACATTCAATTCAAGACGAAAACAATAAAAGTAACGCAGGCCCGAATAAATCAAGCTCCTACAAAAAACCTTAATATATTTTGAACATATACCTAAGACTCCAATCCTCCAGTACCTGTCAAACTGCTTATATTTATATCAAATCCACTTGGTCAAATAGCGCAACTTTACGACAAAGGTCGTGTGAAGAGCGTTCAAATGATGCAAATAAAAACGTGGAAGTGTCCCGGAATTGGTTAAAGTGGCCGATTTTTGTTGAGCTTTACGACTGACTGCCATAAACCACAATCCCGAAACTCTGAAACATTCGAATCATCTGTAAATGAAAACGAAATGTCTCTTTGATTGCTTATTCTACCGTGACGTCGTCCCTATGACCAACCGAAAAGAACCGACACGACCTTCCTCCGAATTCGACATTGAAAAAATTGATTCTGAATTTGTTCCTTAGCTCACGGCAACACAATAAGTTTTCCTTCGCGTGCAATTTTTTAAAGGAAGTGACGTCAACCGGTATCGGAAATTTAACACTGTGGGTAACAATATTTTCGAATATCATTCGAGAAGCAAAAATTAATCGTACGCTAAGGAAAAGCAATTTGATGCTTTGAGTGATGACCCGTCTCGGCGAATTTAAGATGCTGTTTAATGATGTTTTTCCTTCGTTTTTAGATGAGGCTCTAACGTGCAACGTCTGCGATCGAAGTTTCGCCTGTCCGAAGCAGTTAGCCTCTCACAAACAGAAGAAACGTCACTTCGGGTAAGCATAAACATTTTTTAAGTAATATTAAAATGACGTTGGCACAACGTAGGTCCTCTATTTTGTTTTTGTCACCAAAACATCGATACGTTCCCCTGTGTAAGTTGGACAATTCCAATACAGGCAATCAGGTTTCCATTGTTCCACACAATCGCCTTTGTTTCAAATGGTCACTTCATTAATCCTCGACCCTGTGTCTGAACACACGGCTACACTTTGGTGCTTATTCATTATCCACACTAACTTCCATCATCCAGTCACTCCGACCGCCAATCCATTGAAGGTGGCGTAACGAAACGTCTAGCACAGATCGATAAAACCCAGAATGTGTATTTACTCCCTGAACTAAAATAAACAAGAAAATAATTACTGGGAAACAATTAAGTTCCTCCCTCGTTCTAATTATGTAACTTAACAGATTTCCCCAGCCGTGTTGTTTTGCCGCAAAAAGTAACATGTGCGGGCGTGATTCCTGCACAAGTTTTACATCCCAGTCTAACTTTAATTAAATTATTTAAGAAAATTATTAATGTCGTAAACTGCGTAGGCGGTTCTCGATGAGTTTTAAGAGAATTTTTACGAACTTGTTGTTTGATTAATTCGGCACCTGGAGGTTATTAATTAACTCGGTGTTATTGGTGTAAACATGCTAGCACAACGCGGAAGCACAAATTAATTCGCAACAGTGAAAGACGCGTTTAAAATATATAGTAGGAGCTCGGTTCGGATTAAACCCTGCTTCCTGCAGCGAGGCTACGTCGCGATTTCTTTTAATTCTCGACATTAAACCTTCAAAAGGCTTACAATCCCCGAACTTTGACCCGCTTCTTTATCAAACGAAATAAATTCACAATTTCGACATTCCGTTTAAATTTTTACTCTCATTAAAAAGCGTGTCCCTAAGAAAATTGAAAGTCTGGAATGCCTCTCTAATTATCCGCCTACGTGTGACCGTTTCTTTCTTTTAATTGGCTCCTAATATAAAAATTCGCTGGCGCTTTATCACCGTACTCCGCTTGGAAGTTAATTACACCCCTTGGACAAAAGGACATGTCGAGCGATATGGATTTTCAATGCTTCTTCCTATTGACGAGCCGAAATGTTTCTTCGGTCACATCTCAACTTTTCAATAAAACTTTTATTGCCAGCGAACACAAAATCAAGTTTATTTTTCATCGAACGCCCCCACGAAAATACAAATACAGCGGACGGATTATTGCTTGCCTGTTTCATGTTTTATTTGCGAAGTGCTGCTTGATGAAAATGTAAATAGCGATTATTAACTTCTTTGACATTCCGGTATTAAAGTGGAAGTGTTTTTTGTTTCAGGTGCTCCGCTTGTGATAGTCTCTTCCCCTCTCTCATGGCCCTAGAACACCACAAGGAGGAGTTTGAACACTGGTCCGGTGACGAAGACGACATCTGCACGGAGTCCGAAGACGACGACGAGACCGTCATCAGCGAGGAATGCGAACGATTATTGTAAATGTCTAGATCATCTTCGATGTAACCCCGAAGACCAATTTTGTTGATATTGATTTGTTTACTAGAAAATCCAATTGTAAATATTTATTTTTGCAAAAATGTGATGATGAGTGGCGATCCTAAGCATTGATGTTAAACATATCTAAATGTATTGTAATCAGACCCTTTGTACGACGAGTGTTTGTAGATGAGAGAAATTTTACCATCTGTAACGAGGAACCAGAAATTATTTTTCATTGAATAAAAATTGTGAAACGATGGAGATGTTTTTATTTCGCTGAAACCCCGTTTGAAACGTTTGTGGTGCCGTGACCAGTATTCGAAAAGGGAACACATTCCGCTATATTGTCTTTAAATCGGACAAACACAGCAAGTTCTTCACTTCTTACATAATCTATGGCCACAAGTCGTTCACTTGATGTTTAGTTTAAAACCGAGCAGAATGACTAGAGTTGGTGCCTTGACCAGTATGCAGAAAGTGTTAAAAAGATTGGGATGATTTTTTCTGGTGTTCAGTGAAATTTCACGTTATCCCGACAGATCCCCTGACTTCTATTCAAGATCTGCGTCTTTTGTGCAGATGGCGCGACCGCCAGCTCGACAAGGAACCGCGCACTCCGCTTCCGCCACGTGTTTCTGTGTTATTTACCTCAATTCCATTGAAGTATTGAATTTCTATGACTCTGATATTAACCGAACAAGTGTTAAAGTTTCAAAAAGAGCAGTAACAACATTTAAACTTATTTAAATTATACAACACAGAAAATTACTGAGATAGAGAAAAATTGCAAAGCTAACAAAATCACATGAGGTTAATATTTGCCACACTTTATCAACGATTCAAGCAAAGAATTTACATAATATTAAATTATGCCACACTTTATCAACGATTCAAACAAAGAATTTACATTTACTATTAACAATCTTGTGTGAGGAATTACTTAATTATAATATTATTTATAACTTGATAAACAAAGTATGATTTTATTTTTTCAATCTTAACCCTATTTACAAGAAAGTAACAATGTATCTGTTGCTGTCGCACGTGTAAGTACTCTGCTGATCATCGTAAGCATAACTGTACGCATCCGGGCACCTCTGTTTGAAGAACGACGCATAGTCCACTGGCCAATCAGAAGACTTACAAGTATCAGGAGTGGAATGTTCACCACGGCAACAATACAAGTCATCACCGAAGACGTTACAAGCCGCTTGACAACTGACCAACACGCCATCTGAATTGAACAATTTCAGTTCTTCAGGGCAGTCGTTCAAAATGGGATAGGCACACTCGGATTTTTGACAACTGTACTGACCTCCGTCACCGTGACCATCAATGGGTTCCATCTACAAAACCCGCTGAAACATGTTGAAACGACTCAGGGCAAGACTTACGGAAAGATCAATATTGAAACCGTCAACCAAAGACAAGTCGTAGAAGGCCATACCGTCGCCTACCGTGATTTCGGCAAGGGAGGCCGGGATTGGTCCAGCTGCCCCGCAATCCTCGACGCTGTAACAGTCAACGCGGCCCCAAATTCGGCCACTCCAGGGTTCTCCGAACGTAAGGTCCACCTAAAGGAGGTGTTAGAAGGAACGCGGAGTTAAAGTAAAACTTACTTCTTCGCCTCCATGTAGGATGAAGGGGTCTGAATACTCCGTTCCTAGGAGCTGGACGAAAACTGGAGTGTCTGGAGAGTTGTTTTTTATTTGGAAATCAACAGAGTACACTGCTGACACCAAAGCTAAGAGGGATACGAATTTTGCGAACATTTTGGCTGATAATGAGTTGTTGTTGGATGTTTTGGTTTATATATAGGTTTGAGTGAGGAGCGAGTTTAATCTAGATGATTCAGAAATCGTTCGACAGCTCTTGAGTGTTGTTATGTTAGTTTTTTTTCCGACGTGGAAAATCTGGAACGTCCTCTTTATCTCTCAAAAATGGATTTGGTGATAACATTTTTGTTCTCGAATTAACTAATTTGAGGTGTTTGGGTGATTTGTACCCACTTTAACCGGTTTTGCAATAATTGTTACTTTAATTACTTCAATGACCAAAACAACTTAACTTATCTACAACTCGACGTGTTTTATTAAACCAAGTCATCAAGTTATTTTGATTACTAAAGTTCTTCCTTTATGATAAACGTCTATTTTTGTGAAACCTTATCGACAATAATAAGTGTGTTTTCGGATTACAATGCTCTTCAGTGTCACACACACCTAGACACAAAATAAAAAAGTGGATTATCATTGTACTAAGTACGGTTTTTTGAAACCTAATTGTTCAAAGTAGGCGTGGGCTTGCCGCCTTGTTGAAATACGTACGATTAGTAAATTAGCGCAAGCCACCCAATCACGCCGCTGGAATGTAGTGAATATCACCGCACATGTGAGCGGCAAACCAAGTATTGTAATTTTGGACGTTCGGTTGCTGACAATCGTAAAAATGATTCTGATTTTGAGGTTAAGGACGTGCGAACTCTTGAATTATTCATCTTACTGTCAGTAAAAACGCTTTTCAGTGCTTTTTTTAAGTACAAGCCATACTTTCAATCCCTTTCCTTTTGATATAGCATCGAGTTTCCGTCAATATTTACGCATCGCGGAACTTCAAAGCTTCGCAAAAGGTAAACTTCCACCTCTGATTGGAGTCCAGAAGTCGAGTGTGTACGCTTTCGTAAAGGGTTGGTGTTCGAGTTGGCACTAGTAAAAGGGTGTTTTTTTATTGAATGTTTTATTCAATGCAAAAATGTGTTATACCAATACACAGCAGATAAACCATTGTAACAAATCATAAACAGAGCACCTAACCAAATACTGTATTAGCTAATTTAGGAGGCTTTATTTACATTACATTTGTTTAAGTTTTCAATTACAATAATCAAAATGAATAGGAGAATGGCCGTAAACTATTTGTAGTAGGTACAAATGGTCACTTTATCTTACAAACTAAAAACAAAAAATAAAAAATAATAAATAACACATAAATTATACAATATACTGAAACTTAAACTGAAGATTCTCAACACTTCCATAAGAGAGTAATGACTAAAGTTTAAAAATTTCGAGCATTATTTATGTGCGCTAACATGAATGTATGAAAGATTAGAAAAGTAGTCACAAAATTCTTGGAGGTTAAAGTATAAATCAACTCTGTCCATAATCGCACTAAGCTCTTCACCCGCTGCGACCACTAACACTTAGACAGCAGTCTAACGTCGAGGATGTACGGTTCACAGAACCAAACAGTCACTCTGGTATCAGCCAGGATGGGGCAGACGACCGCCCTCTAGATAAATACATTTTACTACATCGGGAAAAGATATGCAACACAACATCAACAATATCATTAATACAATAATTAAAAAAAAGAAACTCAAAATGTCCCTCTTATTTTTCTTTTTTTCATCATCATCATCGGTTCAATGGAGCGCACAGTAGATGAAGTAGCGACGTCTAGGCGGTGGTGCCGTTCACCAGCGTTTCCTTAGGCTTGGAGGAGTCATTGCGGCGGGCGGGGGGCGGCCGGTTCGATCGGTTCTTCGGGTCTCCTCGGCTCTTCGGCGGGCCCTGAGTGGCTGCAGCGTCAACGTTATGGTTGTCATTGGGGATCACGTGGTCACCATTGCCGCCGGCCGGACCTGCCTGGCCGTTGTTCACTGAAACGGTTAAACCGAACGGTTACGCTAGCATCGACCGAAGCCGGTTTTTCTGGACAGGCTGATCCCAGAGACGACGCCATTTTGGGCCACGCTGCTTTTAATTAACGAACGTGGTCGCACAACACAACATAACCTAATTGCTTTGTGAGTGAGGTGTGTAAGCGTGCACTCGTAATTTTATTAACAGACGTCGGACGCCATTAATTGAATTACCACACACCATTAACTACTTGACAGGAGAATGAAAATGGCAAATTTAATGTGGCTTTTGAGGGTACAGATAGAAATTAAACCACTATTTTAAGAGCAGAAATTGTTACAGCGTGCTGAAAAAAAAAAGACATCTTGTTTTATGAAATTGAAGCAACATTATTATGCAAAATTTTGCGGTGACGTCATCAAATTGTAGTGGGGAACCTCTGTTCCGTCCAGAAAAAACCAAACCTTCCAAATTATCGCTTTACGAACTAAAAACATCATAAGCACAGGATCAAAGTCACTTGGGAGTCCGCAAGACATCTCTCACCAATTCTACATCTAGCATCTATCGCTTAATCTACACCACTCAAACAGATTAGAATAGAACAAGTACCTTCGCACTCTGCCGCAGCTGGTTAGGGACACAAAGCAAAAACTGTCGTCTCGTACTCAACAAACCCAAAACATCTTAAAAAAAATCAATTACCTGTGTTCGCCTCATCACTAACAACCGGTTGCGAAGATGGCGTTAGGCTACGCTGTCTCCCGCGACGTCTACGCCTCCTCTGGGATCTACCACCTGACCAAGAGGTCGCTTCCGCGCTCGATATAGACTCTAAGACAACGCGGCCATCTTTACTAGTTACATTCACCAAACATGCTAACCTATGATGCTAACAGAAAGCATACCCCCACCCCCCGTAACTAAATATATACAAAAAGTGTATGATCGAGTGTGCTTCGACATGCAACGTTACCAACCTGACACCGGTGGGATGCCTGAACGCGACTCACCTCTGTCAACGCTGGACACCTCGTGGCTGTCGAGGACGGTCTCCTCGTCGTCAGTGGTGCGACGCCTGTCGTCCCGGCGGACGTCGCGACGCGCGCCGCGACCGCCCCGCGGACCGCCGAAGTGGCGCGGGGGCAGGTCGCTGACGCGCTCGTCGGAGGTCTCGGGGGTCTGGTGGCGGGAACCTGAAAGAGGACTCGATAAGGATCGAAGCGATGCGGGGCGACGCCGCCTCCAAGAATTTTTTAATTGGTTTACGTGTGATTAAAAATAAATATCTTTGTGTTGTTGATGATGATGACAATACACGAAACTGGTTGACACAACAAATGTCAACTGATTGTCGATTGACGTAAGCAGATGATACTTATTTTCTGAATTCGCTACAATGAAATTACATTGCATCTTTTTTAATTGTACGAGTTTTGTGGAGAACGTGACTTGTTTGTGTCCATTTAAGTATTTGTTTTTGATAAAAAAATTGTGATCAAGATAACTGTTAATCGACTCATTCGGCAGTGAAATTATGGAAGCATTTTACTTAATCAAGCGATAGTTTTCAATTTGGCGCAAACATTCGATTATAGATTATTTTAATTACGATAAGATAATAGCACTTGAGTCAAGTTGATTTTAGTCACTTTCTGAAAAACAGACACAAAGTAATTGTAAAATTTTAATTTTAGTTTTGTTTGGGTTGGTACCATGATAATTTGTCAAATTAATGTCAGCTTTGTCAAGTTATACTTACTGCTTTCCTTATGGAACATATGACGACACATGAACACGTCCACGATTATTACTAATTATTGTTTTTTACAAAAAATCTAGCAACCTTTGAAATTTAATGTGAACCAAATTATGTTGGCAACACCAACACCTTGATCGTTCATGTCAATCAGTTGACAATTGCGGTCAAATAACTCCAATGCCAACATGATTACTTTTAAAATAAATTTCATGGCTTACTAGCCTTTTTTTAGCTCACTCTGTCATAACCCTGAGATAAAAAGTGGTTAGTTAGAGGTTAAAAATGGTTATATTGACATTGACTTACGTCCAATTATGACAGGCAACGCCAACTCTAATTTTATTTTCAAATCTTTGAAGATATTATTAAGGTTTGTGAACTGTCAAAGTGTCACCATATTGGTCATATTGGAAGAAAATTAAAAAAAAAATTGACCACTGGGTTTTAAAGACAATTTTTGCAGAAATTCAAACTGAATTTAAACAACTGACACAATCAAAATAACCTCAAAAGTTCTTTTATCAAAATAACTAGAATCAGTGTATGGTATGACAAGAATTATTTGAAAGCTAGACAGTCAAGGGAATTGTAAAAAAATTTGACACTGACAATTTACAACCTTACAAATTTTATGTTCATGTGTTATAGTTTTATCTGTTTAAGACTTCAGACAAAAGTTTGACAATTATTTATAATATTTTCTTTGAATTTAATTTTATATTTTATCGAACTAAAGTTTGTTCATTAAGGATGTGAATTATCAAAGTGTCACCACGTTGGTCAAAAACAGTTTTGCATAAATTAAAAAAATGTCAAATGAATTTAAATGACGGACACAATCAAATAATCTCAAAATTACTTTTATCAAAGTAACTAGAATTAGTGTACAGTACGACAAAAATTGTTTGAAAATAATTATGATCACGAAAATTGTCAAAAATTTGACACTCAGAATCCACAACCGTAGTGAACAAAGTTAATGTTATATGTTATAGTGTTGTCTGTCATTTCAGACAAAAGTTTGACAATTGCATGTGATTTTTTTTCAATTTAATTTTATATAATATACACTATAATTAGAGTTGGTGTCAAAACAGTCACACAACATTGTCAACTGTCAATGTCAAATATTAAATTAATTAATATGTATTATGATAACCCCTGATTAAAAGTGACTAATTAAAGGTTATGATGACATTGGTGTACGTCAAATTGAGGGCAGGAGTACCAACCATTGCAAGACAGGTAACGCTAAGTCTAATTCATTAGTCATTTTATCTTCGATCATGCGGTATTCCGAACAAGTCATTGAAGTAAAGTTTGTTCTTTAAGGATGTGAATTGTCAGTGTCACCATGTTGGCCCCACTGGTGAAAAATTAATAAGGATTTAATACATGTATGGTGGCAGCAATGTAATAATGCTTATTGCCAACCCTTGATGGATAGCAAAATTTAATTTGACTTCTGGGTTAAGTTAATAGTCAAGAAAATTGTCAAAAATTTGACACTGACAATAATTCCACAACCTTGTTACTTCTGACAGATTTTGAAATTATATTCTTATTGTGTTATCCAATGACCAAATGATTTTGACAATGTTTGACGTGGAAAACCTTGAAGTTGTGTCTAAAGTGTCAGTTAAAATTACACCTATAATTTGTTCCACAATTAAAAATTCACCACCTATTGAATTTACATTGAAATTTAAAAATGGAAGAAACTCTCAATGAAAACGTGACACTTGCAACGTTGCTTATACTATTTTCGAAAAAATTGCGGTGTCGGTGGATTTTTAATTTTGGAATATCAACTCGAGGCATTTTTCGTGTCATTTTGTTAGTTTTAGACACATTTTTGACCGTTTACAGTCTATAGATTAGGGTGACATTCTTCTTGACTTACATTAAGTCAACTTAAGTTGCATTTTAACGTATTTGAGCAGTTTAGAATGTCTGAATCCAGTTTTCCCCCTTACACCGACCATGCAACACACGCAAACACGTCCTTTTGGCCATAATGCATATGTTTTTTGCTTCTCGAGCGGAATAAACACCAACAACAAAACCAGGACAACAACTAATGGGTACAGGCAAACAGGAGAGAGACTACGCGCGTACGTCGATCCGCGGCCTCACAACTTCTCCGATGATGCTAAGAAAGTCAACTCGTCCGTGATTCCACTGCAGCGACACTGATTAGAAGCTCTAGTCGGTTACTCGTTACACACCTTGAGCACAGACTCTACCACCCTTCAAGCTTTGTGCATGCGCATGCAACAGTTAGTACACTACAATCGGCAAAGTTTTAAAAATTCCCGACATTTTACTGGAAGGGTACGAGTCCGCACTCATACTCAAAAGAAAAGAGAAACAAAAGAAAAACAACAAAGACACACTATGTTTTTTTAAATCAAGTTATATTTCTAAAAAAGTCTTCACAATGAATTAGATACGTGACACAATTTTAGTGAGCCAGTCTTTTGCCATGGCAGTCACTATTGCCCATTTTGTTTGAATGTTTCTTTTATTTATTTAAATTCCTTAAGTAGTGTTAGCAAACTCACAGTGAGCACATACCGCGCGATACGTTCTCACTCACTTTGATTCCATTTTCTAGCATTGACATGGCTAAAAATCATCGATTTCTGCGTACCCTTCCAGCAAGGTTTTTATTAAATGTCGAGATATTTAGAAGCCTCATGGGGGTTTACTAACTTCTAGGTAAGCCCAAACAACACGCAAAACTGATCAGAGAATCTCAACCATCGTGGATTTTGTGTGTTGTTTTGAACAACCGATCTAATTATCTTATTGACAATATGGATTAGGAGGGTGCAGATGCGAGAAAGGGAGAACACAACAGAAGGGACAACCGAGAGTTGTCTGAGTCTCTGCACCGACCGTCACAACAAAGCCTTGAAATTAAGTCATATCTCAATTAGCGACAATGCTCGCTAGCAACAAATTCCAATTATTATGATTACATTTACATTACTGTACTATAATACAGCGTAAAGATTAAAGTAAGTGAAAAACTAAAAATTAACTCGGGAGAAGATTATCGAAATTAACGAGGAGAGGGGGTTAAGTTAAATTAAACGAAACGTGTTACGCGACCAAGCTCTACTGTCACGTGACAGCAAACACAAAAAGGGAGAGGGGTGATGCTCAGCTATATCATCAGTTTCGTGAATCGCGAAAGCAAACGTGTATTAATTAATTAATTAATTAATTAAGAGTGAAAAGAACGAAATGAAGCCAAAGTAATTATGTACACTGAACATATGCCACTCATATGTTATTACAAAGACAGTAATTTCGGTTAGTTTCAAGCAACAACTTGGTTAATTTACGAAAACTAAACTCAGAACTCGTGTTAATGAAGCAAGAATTTCTCCGATTTTAAGTTGGTTTTTCTCATCATCATCGTACGGCGCCGTCTGTCGGAACCGCAATATAACTCGTAGAAATAGTCGTCAGCCGGGTCAGTCTATGAAGTCACCTGAACGTATATATAATTTTTTTTTTGTATTATTTTTAACGCTGGCTTTACGCAGCACCGGTCGCACTCGCCGTCAAAAATCAAAATTTCCACAACACAACGTACAACGAAACGAACGACGGTATAAAAATCCATACAAGAACGATAATAATAAAAACGAGCGACCGAACGTGATGCGTAAAGCCGTGCCGGTTTTTGCAAGTGTGTGTTTTGCGTAACAAAAACGCATCGTCAGTGTGATGCGCGTTTTGCCTGCGGACCGTCCCAGCCCCGATCACTTCCTCTCCCCCCTGTCGCCGCCGCCGGCCGAGTCGATGGACAACCTACCCTTGTTGGGGCGCTCGCGGTTGCTGGCGGTGGCCCCCCTCGGGGGCCGGCCGTTGCTGCTGGCGTGACCGCCGCCTCCGGCGCTGCCGCCGCGTCCACCGCCCCTGCCGTTTCCCATCGGTTTGTTGGCGGTGTTGTTGCGCTTATCCACGTTATTAACATAATCTGTGATCGTACTACCGGAATTGTAGCGGTCGTTTTGGCGGCCGCCTGGACCGCCGCCTCCCCTGCCTCGGCCGCCGCGACCCCGCATCGAACCGCGGCCGGGCCGTCCGCCGCCGTCCATGTCGGAGTTGTAGCCGCGGTCGTTCCGCCGACCCATTGACAGGCTCTGCATGGAACCGAGCGCCGTGCCGTGGATGCTGCGAAGCTGCTGGTCGATCTCAAGTTTCTCCTGTCTTAGCTGCTCCACTTCCTGGAAACAAAAACCACGTTTCGATAATGCACATCTTCAAATTTTTGACAAATAACACATATCTGTCAAACTATATATTTAAGTTTATAATTAATATCCAAGTACTTATTTAATTCCTACCACGTGTCAAAATATTTCTGAATTTTGGAAATATTTACAATTTTGAGAATCTCACAAGACCTTCGACTAAAAAAAGCGTTTGCGAAATATGCAGAGGGTTTAATTAAAGTTTTTAACCTTTTACGAGTCTGTCTTGTTTTCAGTTGTGAAGGTTTTTTAAAAATTACTGGATTTTCAATTTACGAAATTTTCAAAATTTTTATAACCGAGATTTTCAATGCTTTTCAAAATTTTCATTCTTGCGACACGCAGAAGTGTCAGAATTTTGGATGCCCGAATTGATACAAGCGAACCTTTGGTTTATAGTCGTCAAGGTTTCCGAAGTCTCAAAATTTTTGAAATTTTCGAAATTTCACCAAACGCCAAGATCGTCGATCTTTATTGGAACATCCATAGATTGCTTCAAAGATTTTCCACTGAGTATGTTAAAAATTTATTTAGTTCATTCTACGTTTCATATTTTTGAATTTTGGAAATATTTACAATTTTGAGAATCTCACAAGATCTTCGACTAAAATAAAGCGTTTGCGAAATATGCAGAAGGTTTAATTAAAGTTTTTAACCTTCTAAGGGTCTGTCTTGTTTTCAGTTGTGAAGGTTTTTTAAAAATTACTGGATATTCAATTTACGAAATTTTCAAAATTTTTATAACTGAGATTTTTAATGTTTTTCAAAATTTTCATTCTTATGACACGCAGAAGTGTCAGAATTTCGGATGCCCGAATTGATAAAAGTGAACCTTTGGATCATAGTCGTCAAAGTTTTCCGAATTCTCAAAATTTTTGAAATTTTCGAAATTTCACCAAACGCCAAGATCGTCGAACTTTATTGGAACATACATAGATTGCTTCAAAGATTTTAAACTGAGTATGTTAAAAATTTATTTAGTTCATTCTACGTTTCATATTTTTGAATTTTGGAAATATTTACAATTTTGAGAATCTCACAAGATCTTTGACTAAAATAAAGCGTTTGCGAAATATGCAGAGGGTTTAATTAAAGTTTGTAACCTTCTAGGGGTGTCTTGTTTTCAGTTGTGAAGGTTTTTTAAAAATTACTGGATTTTCAATTTACGAAATTTTCAAAATTTTTATAACTGAGATTTTCAATGTTTCCCAAAATTTTCATTCTTGTGACACGCAAAAGTGTCAGAATTTCGGATGCCCGAAATGATAGAAGTGAACCTTTGGTACATAGTCGTCAAGGTTTTCCGAAGTCTCAAAATTTTTGAAATTTTCGATATTTCACCAAACCCCAAGATCGTCGAACTTTATTTGAACATCCATAAATTGCTTTAAAAATTTTAAACTGAGTATGTTAAAAATTTATTTAGTTCATTCTACGTTACATATTTTTGAGATTTACAATTTTGAGAATCTCATAAGATCTTCGACTAAAAAAAGGGTTTGCGAAATATGCAGAGGGCTTAATTGAAATTTTTAACCCTTAGAACGTTAAAAACTGTCCTGTTTTCAGTTGAGTATATTTTTTAAAAATTACTGGATTTTGAATTTATAAAATTTTCAAAATTTTTATGACCCAGATTTTCAAAATTCTCATTCTTGTGACACGCAGAAGTTGTGGCAGAGTTTTGGATACCCGAAATTATAAAAGTGAACCTTTGGTTTATAGTCGTCAAGGTTTCTGAATTCTCAAAATTTTTGAAATTTCACCAAACGCCAAGATCAACACGACGTACTGCGGTATGCAGAATCGACGTAGTTGAACAAAAGAAGACGTGTGGGTTAGTTTTTTAAAAGTACCTGCTAAGATAAGACTGACTTTGGCAAAATTCTAAGAGAATAGAGGGCGTGTGGGCGGGGCTAGTACTTGCTAAAATAAAATTGATTTTAAGTATCGTAGCAAGCAGTAGTACCGCCCACCCGCCGTCTACTTTCTTAGAAGGTATATCATTTGTCAACATCCAAATAGAGGGTGGATGGACAGGACTAGTACCTCCTAAGGTAAGACTGATTTTGGCAAATAACATACCTTCTAAGAAAATAGACAGCGGGTGGGCGGGGCTAGAATTTGCTAAAAATCTTGGGAGACACTAGCCCCACCCACCCGCCCTCTATTTTCTTAGAAGGTACATCATTTGCCAAAATCAAAATAGAGGGCGGATGGACAAGACTAGTATCTGCTAAGACAAGACTGATTTTGGCAAATGACATACCTTCCAAGAAAACAGAGGGCGGGTGGGCGGGGCTAGCATTTGCTAAGAATCTTAGCAGGCAGTAGCCCCGCCCATCCGCCCTCTATTTTCTTAGAAGGTATATCATTTGCCAAAATCAAAATAGAGAGCGGATGGACAGAACTACTATCTGCTAAGATAAGACTGATTTTGGCAAATGACATACCTTCTAAGAAAATCGAGGGCAGGTGGGCGGGGCTAGTACATGCTAAGAATCTTAGGAGACACTAGCCCCACCCACCCGCATTCTATTTTCTTAGAAGGTATTATGATTTGCCGAGATCAATCTTATTTTAACCTAAAATAAGACTGATTTTGGCAAATAGCGAATCAACGAAGACGACGATCTATTTCTGACTACGTAATACTTAATAATTTTTTGTATAATGTCACATTAGATGAATTATATTCCAATGGATAATATTTAGATATATATCATTCTTGGAAGATATATTTTCAAAGTTTTGAATTGTAAATTATTTCGTTCATTCCATAAAATAAAATATGACAAACGAAAATCAAAGAATGGTTAACTGTAAATATTTAAGTACTATGTGAAGGCAAAAAATGTAGACGTGAAAAAAACACGTCAGGTCAAGTCAAGTAAGCTCATGTCAGGTTAGATCAGGTCAAATCAGCTGAGCAGATAAAAAAGCCAACTTGTTTTCGATGTCTATTAGATTATTTAATAAAAAATTAAAATCAGATTAAGATGTTCACGAACAAGAAAAGACACTGCGAATATTTAAGAAATATGTGAAGACAAAAAAATTTAGAAGCGAAAAATAACAGGTCATGTCAGGTCAGGTCAGATCAGCTCAAGTCTTGTTAGATCAGATCAACAGAAAAAAGGACCAAGAAAGCTTTTTTTTCGATGTCTATTAGCTTATTTGGTAAAAAATTATAGTGAGATGGCGTTAAAGTACCACGTGACCGAGTCTACGCCAATCAGACGTCGCTAAACGCCTCGTTAAATGCGTAATTCTATTAATCTCAGATTAAACTGGCCGTAAAAATGTTTAAATTTCGCAAATATTCAAGAACAAGGAAAGACTCTTTAAAATAAAATATGAGAATGTTTAACTGTGAATTTTTAAGAAATAAGTACAGACAAAAAAGTAGATGTGAAAATACCAAGTCAGGTCAGGTCAAATCAGGCATATGAAAGACAGCGTAAAATAAAATATGACAAATGAAAATAAAAAAATTATTGACTGTAAATATTTAAGAAATATGTAAGGACAAAAAAATGAAGATGCGAAAAGAAAAACAGGTCAAAATACTTCAAGTCAGATCTGGTGAGATTAGCTCAAGTCAGGTTAGATCAGCTCAACAGAAAAAAGGACCAAGAAAACTTTTTTTTCAATGTCTGTTGGCTTATTTAGCAAAAAATTGTAAAGTCAGATTAAAACTTTCAAATTTCACAAATATTCAATAAAATATGCCAAATGAAAATCAAATAACTGATAATTTTTCAAAAAACTGTGAACACAAAAAATGTTGATGTGAAAAAAACAGGTCACATCATATCAGTCACGTCAAATCAGCTCAAGTCAGGTTAGATCAGGTCAAATCAGCCCCACAGAAAAAAAGACCAAAAAGGTTTTTGTTTTCGAAGTCTCTTAGCTTTTTCAATAAAAAATTAAAGTAAGATAAGATTTTTAAATTTCACTATATTCAAGAAAAAAGAAAGACACATGACCAATGAAAATTAAAGAATGGTTAACTGCGGATATTTAAGAAATATGTGGGGACAAAAAATGTATATGTGAAAAGAAAAACAGGTCAGATCAGATCAAATCACCCAAACATCAAAAAAGAGCAAGAAAACTTTTGTTTTCGATGTCTGTTAACTTATTTAGTTAAAAATTAGTCAGATTAAGATTTTTAAATTTCAAATATTCAAGAACAAGACACTAAAATATATATATTTTTTAATATGTAGACGTGAGGTCAGGTCAGGTTAGATCAGGTCAAATCAGGTCAAGAGGAAAAAGGACCACGAAAGTCTTTGTTTTCAATGTCTACAACTTATTTAATAAAAAATAAAAATCAAATTAAGATTTTCAATTCACAAATGGCCAAGATCATTTACAGCTTTTACTTTCTCTCTTAAGTCCAAGGACTAGGAAAGACACTGTAAAATAAAACATGACAGATGAAAATCAAAAAGTGGCGAGTATTTAAGAATTATGTGAAGACCAAAAAAATGTGGGTGTGGAAAAAAACGTCAACAAAAAAATGACCAAGAAATGATCGTTAATTTCATGGTTCGTCGACGTTTCATAGCTGCAAAAGTATGAAAAGAACCCGCAATGACTTCCTTCCCAAAAGTGAGGTTAAAACTGAACGGATATTAGAATTTTCCAGATCCTTACAATAATAATAATAATAAACGACACACCTCGGCTCTAAAACAGAAAAACACCTAGAACTTAAGCCTTTTTAGCTTATTTCGTAAAAAATTAACGTCAAATCAAGATTTTTCTCAGTGACAATTCAACGTAATAAAATGTTTCCTTTTGATATGGAGAACTCCATCGTGACCTACTGAAAAAACATTTTCTCAAATATACAGTGTGACAGACATGAGCATTCGTCGCCGATTCCTCAAAAACCCCTCTCTGTACCTTTAGGTGTGCTAGGTGATATTTGAGGAGGACTTTCGCATTAGATATGCTCTCTACCGTTCCGACAAACACGAATGGCACCTGTCCTTCTTCGCGGGGGATTGTCGGTTGTGGTTCATTATCGCCTTCAATTTTCACTCGAACCTGCGCAAAATATTTAGTAAACGTATTCTCGCTTCCGGGGCGAACTCACCACCCCACTTTTGTCGACGATTTCTTGTATAATCCTGCCGTTTTTTCCAATAACTTTGCCTACTAACGCCCTCGGTACTTGAAGAGATTCTTCGCTATATTCTAACATTGATCGAGCCCTCTTCACAGCCTCATCAGTCTAGAAAATTAAAAGCAATTAAACGTTAGCGTGACACGACGCCACCTCACCTCTCCATATATTTTGAAGGTGCACGAATTTTCTTCCAATTCTATGTTCGTAATTCCGTCGACTTTCCTAGCCTGTTGGATGTTGGCACCGTGCGCACCGATCGCTAACCCCATCAGATCTTCCCTAACATTGAACTCATCGGAAAACCTGCGAAAAATACAACGTTCAAACCATCAAATCGTTATTCTGTGCACAAAAATAAGCTATTGTCTGTTCACGCCTTAAAGATCGAGACGGTCTCACCTATACCCACTGTAAGAGAAGATTACGTCGTGACTTAACCTAAGCGCAAATTGCGTAGACCTTTAACATGTGAACAGATTTAAGTACCGATTCGAACAACAACAAAACATACTCCTGGCTCGATTCATATTTTTTTTTATTCGTTTTTGATCATGCAAAATCTGCAAACGTGTACGCATGCTACGTCCGGTAAATTGCCCCCAGTAGTACCGATCAAGAGCCAAGAAGAAAGAGAAGATACACAGTCTACAAACATGCTCTTTCTTTGTCATATTTACGAATCGTCTCACCTTGGCCTTGCGCGATTCGTCTCGTAATTCGAGACGCGCTGGTACATGGGCTTATATCTGCTGAAAGAGAAACAAACCGTCAGACAACAAACTAGATTACACACAGACGACTTCGCACCCTTTAAATCGGCTCGACAAAACCAAAAGGCAATTCACCGGGAACTAAGCAAAATGCAACTTTCGAACTAAACATAAGCTAATAAGAACAGGATCGTCAGAAGTATGTTGGCTTAGTGGATTTGTTGTTGCTTGGTCGTGTTAAAACTAACAAGTGATTCCTTACCCGCCGATTGTCGCCAATTTCGTACTCTCCAGCTGTCTGGCTGCTTCTTCTGTCCGTTTCAATAAGAGCACTTTTTGCGATAAACTACGGAAATGCATGTCCTGTAGGAGGCGCGCGCATCTGCGACTCGATTCGTTTCTCGATATTACTAACAGAACACCTTTTTCCGGAACGTACCTAATCAGACTAGCACCGATGGCGTTTTGGAACTCCTTGTGAGCATTATCTATTTTTGCGCTGAAAAGAAACATCCATTTTAGACATCTGACGTCTTAAAATTATTATTATGCTACCGAGAGATTAAAGACGGCCATGGATTTTTGAAGATTTGTCTTTCGTCAAATCAAAGATTAAATTTTCAAAAATTCTTAGCTGTCTTTGGTCGTGTTTTTATTGCTCTCTCTTGCTAAACAGCAAAACTTAGTTACTAAACCTTACCGCAACAAAATACCTAAATAACTAGTACTAAAATTGTATTTCTTGTTGGATTAAAGTTGGTAATATTCGCACAGTTAGTTTCTTGGTGAAGGAAGTAACCGGTTCACGTCAATCTCTGTTATTTTGTGTTTAAAGTCTTTATAATCTTTTATTTTGTTTAGTTTTCGTGATATTCTTCTTGCATTTGTGATTTCAAACTTTATTTACTGTAAAATTGGCGCTGGAACTGCTTTTTGGTGCGGACACTTTGGTAACCCTTTTTTTGTTAACATTTATCTTTCTTTTGGTAACGATTTGAGGTTAAGTATTTCAAGGCAAATATTATCTGCGTTAATAAACTTTATTGCGTTTAAAACACTTTAGAATTAATGAAGAATTTACATTTAAATGTTTTGACAGTTCGGAGACCCATTGAATTAAAAATAAAAGACGGCCGAGACATCCACTGAATTAAATACAATTGATGGCATTCGCTTAATAAAAAAATCCGATTAATTATTTCAAGGAAAATACTACTTTTATTTAAAAACTTTTCTACCGGCTTTTATCAAATTTGACTAATTAACGTCCAAAGATTTCAAGACACTGTAAAATAAAACAAGATTAATGAAACTGGACTAGACGTGAAAAAATAAGTCTGGTCAGGTCAGGTTGCAAATACACAAAAAATTTACAGACGTAAAATATGTAACAAAACAACTCAAGTCAGGTCTGGTCAGCAAAAATAGTCAAGTTTCTTATACTTTTTAGCTTTGGCTACATTATTGGAAAAAACAATTTCTATATTTTAGAATTTAAATTGGAAATAATATAACCGATTGCTCCGAAATTTTGGAAAATAAAATTTGCGAAATAAAACTTTATAACTAATCGAAAGAATTGGATTTATTCGATTGTATTTCAGAAAGGTGTGATATTCTTTTAAATAACTTAAAAAAAAAATACCAAGAAATGATTGATGATTGAGACATAATAATAAAATAAGACAATCGAAAGACTGTTTGTCATTCATATTACGCCACAAATAAATGAAACGAAGTCGAGGACTAAAAATGCATCTGAGTATTGATTTAAAAAAAAAATCGCTTAAACTATAAATAAAAATCATTACAACAATTTGAAACTTTACATCCTCCTAGTTAAATGACAACAAAAATTCGCATATTATATTGTATTATAAAAAAAAGTAAAAAAAGTAAAATATAAGCCCCGCCCACTCACCCCCTCGCCAATTATGACGATTTTTCTGTTCTTCAGTGATGGTTCCCTTTTCTTAATAGATATCTACAATTTTCTTTCAACAACACGATACTTTAAAATATTTTACTTGGTATTTTTTAGAGAGAAATATAAACTTTACAATTCAGCTCCGCCCCGGTCTCACGACGAATAAAAAAAATAATCACAGTTTAGATGGGGCGGGTGGGTGGGGCTTATCCAGTGACCTTCTTTTCGGTAATATGTATACTTAGTCTTCTTTCAGCAAAATACTTAAAATGACAAATGGTAAATTTGAGGTACGAATTGTTTTAAGTATCGTGTTATTGATGGAAAACTCTATATATTAATAAAATGAAACAAATGATTTTCTCAATTGTGATGAATTTCTTATTTGTTGCCAAAAATCCACAAAAAAAATCTACAAAAATTTACCATTATAAATATGTTTTCAGTTTCTTGTTGCAAAAAAACGACTGTACGTAAATTAAGAAAAAATGACAACATTTAAGCCCCGCCCACCCACCCTATCTCAATTGTCATGAATTTTTTATTAGTCGCAGGCCAGAGGGCGGAGCTTAATTGCAAAATCCGTATTTTTTTACAAGAATTACCATGTGAAACATGTTCTTCCGTGATGGTTCCCTTTTCTTAGTAGATATATATCCATAATTTTCTTTCAGCAAGACGATATTTAAAACATATTTTATTTGTTTTTTTTTTTTTTGGAGAGAAATATAAACTTTAAAATTAAGCTCCCCCCCCCCCTCATGACGAATAAAAAATTAATCACAGTTTAGATGGGGCGGGTGGGTGGGGCTTAGCCAATGACCTCCTTTTCTGTAATATACTTAAGTCTTCTTTCAGCAAAAGACTTAAAATGACAAATGGTAAATTTGAGATTAGAATTATGTTTTAAGTATCGTTTTATTGATAGAAAGTTATACATTAAGAAAATGAAACCAATGATTAAGCCCCACCCACTCACCCCTATCCCAATTGTGATGAATTTCTTATTTGGTGCTAAAAATCCACAAAAAAATCTACAGAAATTTACCGTTCTAAACATGTTTGCAGTTTCTTGTTGCGAAAAAATTACTGTGCGTATGTTTACAAAAAAAGTTCACAATGTAAGCCCCGCCCCTATTTCAATGTGATGATTTTTTTTATTAGTCGTGGGCGAGAGGGCGGTGCTTAATTGAAAATATTTATTTGTCTACCAGAAATTACCACGTGGAACATGTTTTAAGTATCGTGTTGTAGAAAGAAAACTAACACGTGATCAAAAAGTTTTCAGATTAGAGTTGGCCATGGAAATATTTGTCATGTCTTTGATTAAAATGCAAATTATTGAAATACTCATTTGACAAATATTTCCATGGCCAATTCTAATCTGAAAATTTTTTGATCACTCGTTACATATATTAAGAGATGTAGGGCATGATTAAGCAACACCCACCCGCCCATATCTGAATCGTGATGAATTTCTCATTCGTTGTGAGATCGAGGGGCGGAGCTTAATTGCAAAATCCATATTTGTCTAAAACAATTTACAATTTTAACCACGTTTTAAGTTTCTTGTTATTAAATGAAGGCTATGTATATTAAGAAACAAGACAAAATTTAAGCCCCGCCCACCCGCCCTATCTCAATTGTGATGAATTTTTTCATTAGTCGTGGGCCAGGGGGTGGAGCTTAATTGCAAAATCCGTATTTTTCTACTAGAATTACCATGTCAAACATGCTCTTCAGTCATGGTTCCCTTTTCTTAATAGATATCTATATTTTTCTAACAACACGATATTTAAAACATGTTTTACTTGGTATTTTTTGGAGAGAAATATGTATACACTTTGCAATTCAGCTCCGCCTCCGTCTCACGACGAATAAAAAAATTAATCACACTTTAGATGGGGCGGGTGGGTGGGGCTCATCCATTAACTCTCTACCGCCCCTATTTCAATGTAATGCTCGTGTTATTAAAAGAAAACTACATATATTAAGAAAAGCACCGCATGATTAAGCAACACCCACCCGCCCCTATCTGAATCGTGATCAATTTCTCATTCGTTGTCAGATCGAGGGGCGGAGCTTAACTGCAAAATCGATATTTGTCTACAAAAATTTTTCACTTTAACCATGTTTTAAGTTTCTTGTTGTGAAAAAACGGCTATATATGTACCTTAAGAAAAAAAGACAAAATTTAAACCCCGCCCACCCGCCCTATCTCAATTGTGATGATTTTTTAATTCGTCTTGAGCCGGGGGGCGGAGTTTACTTGCAAAATCCTTCTTTTCCTACAAGAAATTACCATAAACAAAATGTTGATATGACATTATCAACTTTGCAAGCATTGAATAACGATTTACCATGTTTCTGATAACCTTAAAATATTTGCAAAGTTTCAGAACATTCAGTTTTGCAATTTCAGTATTAAACTACAAGTGGAGGAGTATCTTATTTTATAAAATTTATTTATATTACTTATTTTTTCAGCCGGATCACGATGCCAACTGGACGACTCAAAAACGCAATTTCCGCATAAAAGAAATTTTTTTTTTGTGAAATTTTTTCTCTTCTCATTCCGTTTTTTTATTTTTTATCTCAAATTTTTTTCTCCGCCCTCCGGTCTCACAACGAATAAAAAGTTCATCACAAATGAGATCGGGGCGGGTGGGCGGGGAATAATTTTCGGTTCCTTTTTCTGAACATATTTTTACATCATGATGCTGAAAATACGGTTCAGGTGACATTTTTGTAGAAAAATATAATACAAACCACATTTATTGTGAATTTTGAGCATTTCGTTAAGCAGAATTTAAACTGAAAAATTCGTATACGGACGCACGATTACGACACCTAACTCTGTAATTTTTAATTAATGCGTTATGCGTAAGCACTGTAATAAAAAAAAATCTCATGTTTCAATTTCGAACAACCACAAAAATACCCCTTGCTTATTAACGCGACCTACGTAATGAGAATAATTTTTCTCTTTTTTTAGACACCACACTCGCTATTAGCAATCCCGGAAGCCTCAATGCTCCCATCTAAAAAAAGAGAAACTCTCGAAAACAACACGAAACTTACTACTCTCGGACGTCCTCTGGAACTTCAATCTCAAATTTAACAAACATAGAACTATCAATGGGGGGATTAGTGTTTTTGACTCTGAGGCGGTCGTCGCTGACGATTTCCGTGTATGTTGTATCCCAACCGACGTATTCCAGCACATAGAAGTCGCCTTTCATCATCTGCAAAAAAATAAAAATAAAAACTAACACACTTCGGTCAACAAAGTAAACAATTTCACGTCGTGAATCCTCCCGCAATTAAATTCCAAATTCGATTCGTCATGCGACCTTTGCTATAAATAAACTTAAGTAACAAAATGTAAAATTAGCGATCTGGTTGATTTTTCATAATTTATGGGGTCAGGAAAAAGCACAATTCGTCACCGCGACGTATGAAATTGAGTTGTCACAATTTCAAAAACAAACGTCAGGTCGTTACGTAAACGATACGTGGTAACAGGGTATTTTTTTGAAGTGTGCGCGGAAATCGGGGTTTAAAATTACAAACTTGTAGCTATTAAAGGATTAATTCGTGTTGTTAACTTCGTACTATAATGGCTGCAATTACCTATTAGCTGATGTACCCGGCAGCGAACAAAGACAATTATGGACAACTAAGAGCTAAGAGTAAGTCTATGTCTTCAATCAATAGCGAACTTGTTCATTAGCGGTGTTTCCATCAAGGTTCGATTCAAAGAGCTTACAAAACGAACTTGTTGGAACTATTCTATTATTAAAATTCGAAAAAAAAAAAAATTGCGCGCATCGCGTGTAATAAACAAATTAACACACACAATGTATTGTTTCTCATTACTTAATGCAATTTCGCGAAACTGAAGCGACAATGAGACGTTTCGCTACAAAAGCAACGTGTTCTTCAGACGTCTGAATCCATCCATGCATATGATTCGATTTTACTCGATCTTGCATCGGTGCAACACAAATTTTAATGATCACGTATGTCACGCGTAAATAATTAATTATAGCACAGCTGGTGACAGAAAAAACCGACAGTTCCAATTAACTTGCTTAATCCCATCTCCACTCTCTGAAACTATCGAATTTACAGTATTTTACACCGAATTCGCTGGGCTGGAAAATCTGCATAGTGCTTGTTAGCTACAAATTTATTGTATTTTCAACAACCGAGGGAAAAAGACACGTAAGCGTTGTTACAGACAGGCGAAGTACAAATTGAAGTAATCTAAAAATAATACTGTATTTGATACCGGCTGCTTTTTGTGTAGATGGATAAGAGCTTTGTGAGACGAAGTCGCGGGATGGATTGTACTCGGAGTATTACAGTAAGAGGAACAATTACGTTTAGTGTCGTGAGCAGCCTTAAGAAACAATAAACAAGTAGTTGAGTAAATAATAGAAATGAAAAACTCTAGTTTTCTCTGAAAAATTTATTTGTTCAAGAATTACAACCGTTTAAATTTTCATTAAATATCGCACTTTTAGCAAACTATGATCCAATTTTAGCGACTCTTAAGTGCATTATAAACATCTAAGATGTACATAAGAGATAAAAACGCGTTTATCAAAATAATCTCCCATTCGAACATTGCACGTCACTGATAATAAAACTTTCACTTCTTTGTTCACACAAAGACACATATGCCAATAACCGATTTTTTTTAACAATGTACAAAGTAATTTTTCAATTCGATAATGTCACAATTACGATAACGTTCGTAAAAAACTGAAGAAATAACAGCGCTATTAATAAAGGAGGGTTTAAGGCGGCGTTAAAAGGGAACATTATGTTCACTTATCGCTGGATGCACATGCGTAATAATATTTTATTGCTTCATTCTAAACAAGCGTATTAAATGCGAATCATCAAGTGTTTTCGGCGTTATCTATCTCTGTCCTGAATTAGCCAAACCCTTGCGCTGATAGAAAAATTGCTTTGAAAATTCGAGTAAACTTATTCCAAGTTTAATAATAACGTCGCGGTTGTTAAAAGTATTTTTGCGCCGAGTTCACGATTTAATCTGAATGTACATTCACTAGATCGTGAAAAAGTAGGTCCCCCATTTAATTGGACAAATAATCTCCAACACTACCGGACAGATAATCGTGAAACTTTACGTTTTTTTAATAGTATCGGTATATTGTAGAACGCTCACTAAAATTAGCCTGTTCACTCCCACCAAAAATGTGATGCCGTCATCTCAAAATCCGATTTAAAATGTCCTAAATGTGTTGGTAGAGGTAATAATATTGATTGCGAGCGCAGCGAGCACGTTTATGTGTTATTAAAAATTGCTTGTCAGTGTCCCTGAGAAGCTAAATTATTAATAATTTTTTACTGTCTAAAGAAGTTATTTTTAAAATGTTCCTGAATATTGTGCAATCTAAACGTGCTCTTAAATTCTTTCCTGCACACTTCTATGACAATGAAGATGAAAAAAATAAGTTTAAAATGCGAGCGCAGCGAGCACGTTCAGGTGCAATTTAAAAAATTATTTATTGGTGTCCCTGACAAGCTAAATTACCAAGAAAAATTTTGTTATTGGAAACTGTGAGTTTAAATTTTTTTGTGATCACTAATGTCTGTGGAACTGAAATATCCTAAACGTACTCGCTACGCTCCCATTTTAGAGGTTGATTTTTCACAGTATTTATCTTGCCAGGGAGATCACGAGACTAATTATAACAAAGAATAATCAAAATGGGAGTGCAGCGAGCACATTTATACATTATTCAAAATATTCGTCGGCGTCCCTCGGAAACTAAATTATTAATTAGAGAATTTTTAATGTCAAAAAAAAAAATAATAAAAATGATTCTTAAAAATGTTCGTGACTGTCTGTAAAGTGCAATCTAAAAAATTATTTATTGGTGTTCCTGACAAGCTAAATTATCAAGAAAATTTTTGTTGTTATTGGAAAATGTGAGTTTAAATTTTTTTGTGACCACTAAAAAAAATCACTTAAAAAAATAAGTTTAAAATTTGTGTAATTTAAAAAAATATTTATTGGTGTCCCTGACAAGCTAAATTATCAAGAAAAATTTTGTTACTGGAAAATGCGAGTTCAAAATTTTTTGTGATCACTAATGCTTGTGGAACTGAAATATTTACATTTTAAAGGTTGATTGCTCACAATAATTTACCTCGACAGGAAGATCGCGAGAATAATTATAACAAAGAATATTCAAACTGCGAGTGCAGCGAGCACATTTAGATATTATTCAAAATATTCATTCGTCGGTGTCCTCGGAAACTAAATTATTAATTAGAGAATTTTTATTGTCTAAAAAAATGATTCTTAAAAATGTTCGTGACTGTCTGTAAAGTGCAATCTAAACGTGCTCGCTGCGCTCATATTCTAAGTTCTGTTTTTTTTTAAGTTTAGAAATTTATTCTTACAACAGAACCCAAATAACTTCGTCGAGACTCTTTCCTGCACCCTTCTGAGAATGAAGATGAAAAAAATAATTTTAAAATGCGAGCGCAGCGAGCACGTTCAGGTGTAATTTAAAAAATTATTTATTGGTGTCCCTGACAAGCTAAATTATCAAGAAAATTTTTGTTGTTATTGGAAAATGTGAATTTAAAATTTTTTGTGACTACTAAAAAAAAATCACTGACAAAAATAAATTTAAAATGCGAGCGCAGCGAGCACGTTCCGGTGTAATTTAAAAAAATATTTATTGGAGTCCCTGACAAGCTAAATTATCGAGAAAAATTTTGTTACTGGAAACTGCGAGTTCAAAATTTTTTGTGATCACTAATGCTTGTGGAACTGAAATATTTACATTTTAAAGGTTGATTGCTCACAATAATTTACCTCAACAGGAAGATCGCGAGAATAATTACAACAAAGAATAATCAAACTGCGAGTGCAGCGAGCACATTTAGATATTATTCAAAATATTCATTCGTCGGTGTCCTCGGAAACTAAATTATTAATTAGAGAATTTTTATTGTCTGAAAAAATGATTCTTAAAAAAGTTCGTGACTCGAAAGTGCAATCTAAACGTGCTCGCTGCGCTCATATTTTAAGCTGTTTTTTTTTAAGTCTGGAGAATTATTCTTACAACAAAACCCAAATAACTTCGACTTTTTCCTGGACAATTCTATGAGAATAAAGCCGATAAAAATAAGTTCAAAATGCGAGCGCAGCGAGCACGTTCAGGTGTAATTTAAAAAAATATTAAGTGGTGTTCCTGACAAGCTAAATTATCAAGAAAAATTGTGATCACCAGTGTCTGTGGAACTGAAACATAAACATGTTCGTATTTTAGAGGTTGATTTTTCACATTAATTTACCTTGACTGAGAATAATTATAAAAAAAGCATTAAAAAATGCAACTGGAGCGAGCACATTTAGGTTTTATTCAAAATGTTCGTCGGTGTCCCTCGGAAACTAAATTATTAGAGATATTTAAAAAAAAAAAAAAATCTTGAAAATGTTTGTGAATACTAAAGTAAGTAAATCTAGACAGCTCCGCTGAAATTAAATCCTCATCACTTCTATGAAACTAGACTGTAAAAAAAGGCGAGCGCAGCGAGCATGTGCAAATGTAATTGAAAAAAATATTTATTGTTATCCCTGACAAGCTAAATTATCAAGAAAAATTTTGTCATTGGAAAATATGGGTTTAAATTTTTTTGTGATCACTAGTGTCTGTGGAACCAAAATATCCTAAACGTGCTCGCATTTTAGAAGTTGTTTTTTTACAGAAATTTACCTTGACAGCAACATCACGAGACATAAAAAAGAGCATTCAAAATGTTCGTCGATGTCCTTCGGAAACTAAAATATTAATTAGAGATTTTTTTAGTGTGAAAAAAAATTAATCTTGATAATGTTTGTGAATACCCAAGTTGGAAAGACCCCAGCTACCTGAACGTACTCGCTGCGCTCGCATTCTGTGGGTTTGTTTCCTTAAAGTAAGTAAACCTATATGGACTATTTTGAGTCACCCTATATCAGTAGTTATAAAACAATGAATGCTGTGATTAACCGCAAGTATATAGCATCATGTTTTGCATATTTTAGGTAGGATTTATTCTACATCATTTTAGATGACGTCATTGATTTTTTGGGAGGGGTAAACATCAGTTTTAATTATTTAACTACACTTTAAGACGTTTTGAAGTTTCAAAGTTAAAATGCAAGTCAAATTTTGGAAATGACGTCATGCCATTGCTGGTGGGGATGATCAAACAAATTTTCGTTAGAGTTTTACCATCTACATGATATTTATTACTAACATAAAAAAGTGGCAGAAACCGTTTAAAAAGCACAAGGTTTTTTTAAATTTTTTAAACCAAAAGCGGTGAGTGCAGATGACTATATTCCAAAATACTTTTTTTGTATATTCTCTTTCAAATTTACTCTCAAAATGAGATGAAACGCCCTGTATATATGTTGTTTACAACTTTGTTAATTTTTAAATACAGCATAACGTTGAAAACACAAAAGCTCCTGGTTAACACACTCGTGCGGTAATTAACTTGCGGTTGCGGTTCTTTAAATTTCTAATCCAGGTGGCCTATCTAACCTAAAAAATTTAACACGTTGAAAATTGGTGTTATCAACGACACAACTTTTTATTCCAAAGCCAACCGAGATTAGAAATTGAATTGAAAATTTGAACTAATTTGACCTGAAACGTAAAATCTACAGATTGTTTTCAAATCTGTAAAAGAACTAGAAAGCCACACTTAAACTGAACTAAACATGGTGAACACCTCAATATTTGTGACTAATTCTGATAATGATAGTAATAAAAGTTGTATCCATACTTAGCATTAAATGTCAAAAATGTCATTTTAAGTGGCTGTCAAAAAATGCACATCAATGATCCTATGATCCGAATTTGCTTCATTTGATTGTTTTTTCTAATAAACGAATTTACTTAAAAAATGACACATTACATAATATCAAATTGAGTATCCATACTTAAATTAATGTGAAAATATACATTAACTTGGAAATATGAGTGGTGCGTTAATTTCTTCAAGCAGTATATTTCTAGTAGGTTATATTGTTTTTTATATTGTCCAAACCGTCACCTATTCGCCTAAATTCATCGCAAGACCCCCTGTCAAAATCACACATCCATTTCCCCATGAATCAATTGAAAATGAAGACAATTCAATAATTTCACAACGCCAGAAACCCTCGTCATCAGCACGTCGTACACACATCACATGACCACCCATGCAGCCGCCGAACTCACCTTGATCCTGGACTTCCACCACCCGTACGCCTCTTGATGGTTAGCCCTCGAGTACACCTCCACTTCCATGTTCTCGGTAAACTCGACTTTCGGGTCGGGCTTCGGGGGCAACCGTACTTGTGAATAAGGGAACTTGGAATCCGGCTGCCACCTTCAACACAAACAATCATCATCGAACCAACACACAACCACCACCAACTTACTCATCTTCGAAATGTATGAGAACCGAATCTTCGAACACGTCCACGATGTACCCCTGCAAGCAAATCCAGTTAATCCGCTTGCTGTAACACGATCCTGCCCCGCACATAACCTTGCCGTTTAACGCGACGTTTCGTCCCCGCGGCGTGCATTCTCACGGGAATGCCCCGCACGCGGGGTCCGGAACGCGGCGCTCGTGTTTTTGGAGCCACATGGAAGATTCACGCCCTGTCAGATGGTCATGGCGTCAAAAGAACCGCGTTTGCAGCTCCAACACTTCGGGATTTTTCTCGGAAAGTACGAGGCGGAGCGGGGCGGCGGCGGGGCTGTGGGGGCGCGGGCGCCCCCGGGGGCGGGCTCGGAGGGCGGGGGGGACCGGTGCAAGCATACTTTGTGTGGTACAGACCTTATAAAGGGCCCCATTTTCGCCGCATACTTCCACTGCCAGGTCCTCCATGTTGATTTTGTTCTTGGGTGAGGAAACAGCCTTGAGGCGAGAGGGAGTTGCACTGCTGCCACTCTAGTAAACAGAAAATCGTGAGATGTGACAGGTTGGAAGCGGGATGCTGATTGGTCGAGGGGAGTGGGACACAGAGGCGGCGCAAGAAAGGGCGCACGATTTTTTTTCACGATCAATCCGACCGAATTTATTAACACGGAAGGTTTTGGCCCCGAAAAGATAATCAACCGAAAAGCGGACGTGGCGATGCGGCTGGCAGCGTCAAGGTCGAAAGACGGACTGACCAATGCGGGCACGTGTCGCAGTCACGTGACGAGAGGCAAAGAAGGGTGTGTTTTGCAACCGAAAATTTGTAATTTTTTCTATAACCACAGAGCAAAAGTGCTTTAAAGGATTTTAGGACATTTACGTTTTCCAGTTTTAACAGTGTGGACCACATCATAAATATACAAATCTATTCTTCTGATGCAGATGTCAGTTTGCTAATACTTTTAGCGAGGGGAACACAAAACATCTGCCACCGGAGCCAAGTTCAAGCGTAAACTGGGGCTAAATTTATGTAAGCAATAATGAGGATTTCTAATTTTTATAGCAAAAAACAAAAAATGTTTGTTTAAACTATATTACTTAAGATAATTTAATTTGGCGTTTTTTATTAAATGGATTGGTTTATTTTTTGAGGAGTGTGTAACTATAAAGTTCAAATGTCATTATTATTGTGACAATGACATTTTAACCGTTTTAATTAAAACTTTCGAATTATCATTTCTAGGAAGTGGCAAATCTGCAATATTTTAAATTTCACAGGTCACTCGATGTAAGGACGTTCAGAATGAAAGCCTTATAATACTGACTGTTATGTAAATTTTTTCTGCATTCTGTTTAAAATAAAAGAAATGTGGCAGAATTTAATTAGACGTAAAATTTACTCCTAACAGTGTAGTTTAGTATATTCTTAAATTTTCTGGTCCGTATTATTTTCCTTTAATTAATATTTAGAGACGTTCGTTAATTTTTTCTTTTTGTCTGATAGATGCTTTTATGGTATTTCCTCATTCACTTTAGTCAAAGTTTTAGATAATAAATGGCGAAACGAAAAAATCATACGATCTTGACTTGAAACGTCAAGAATGGTGTTTAATTAGAACTGTTAATTTTTTGCATTTTAGACCTGAATTTACAAATACAACACAGCAAAACTGGAACTAGAAGAAATAATACTTACTAATTTTAAACTTATAACCTATAACTTGTCCCATTTTTATCTATCATGTAAGCAACATTCTTGTGGATTCAGTGTAAAGTTGTGAATTTGTTTACATTTCGAAAAGATTTGTCTATTCTCTGACTTTCCCAGTTTAAACCGGCTCTTTTGGGCGGATGTTCGTGTTCGATTTTCGGCGGTAAACCTCACCCTTGCGTGTCCTCTCGCGCCGCCACTGGCCCCGACACCCATGAAACCTGACTGGCGATTTCGTCAGTTTTGACAGGTCGAATGGCGCTGTCTGTGGTCACGCGTATGTTTTAAAATAACGTTGTCAGGCAGCGAACCCGAGCCGAAATCGGTCTGCGCCCCCGTGACAACGCCCCGATATGACGAGCCGCTCATGAGACCATGTCCAGCAGCAGCGACTCGGAGGAGTTCTACGACGCCGAGGATCTAACGCCAAGTCATGGTCCAAGGTACAAAAAACGCAAAACTGTTACCTCCAAAAAGACCTTCATCCTCCAGACGCCGCTCTTCGGCACAGGACAATCACTTGACTTTTATTTACACTTCAACGACAAAAAAGCAATTGAAACAAGTGCTCGTTGACAGATGGGAGCCAACTTGATTGAGTGTCGGTTGATTTTCCAGAAAACCGAGGAAGACTTCGAAGGAGAGCCTCACGCAGAGGGCGAGCTCGGAGCCGAACGTGTCCACGACCCTGCCGAGGACGAAGGAGGAGGACAGGCACCCCCAGTCGGTCACCGAGATCGTTTTTGTAAGTGGGAAAGAGTGGCGACGGATTTGATAAAGTGCGTTGTAGGTGGAACCCCAGAGTAAGAGGACTCCGTTAGGGGGCAGGCGCAAGTTCAAGGAGTTGAGACAGAAGTTGCAGAATGACGATGAGGATTGCCAAACGGGGAATGTTACGCCGCCCAATAGTCAGACTTCTTCGGTCGAAGGGGTTTTCGCCACCTCGAATAAGACTACTCACCCTTTTAGGATCATAGAGCAAGATACTGTTAGTTTGCAGAGCATTAATTCCTTGGGGCGATTGACGCGGATTTTGGGGGGAGTCGCAGAAGGAGGTAAGAAAGCTGCATTTGACAGATGTCGCTGCCCATTCCTGCCAACTTTTTTCGCGCAACGAAAACTATCACTGCTCGAAACTTGTCTCCGCACCAAAAAGTAGTTCCACTGCGTGTCTAAACTAATTTTTTTTGTAAAAGTGGGCAATATTTCGCAAACAACTAAGTATCAGTTAATCATAATAACGATCGTCGAATCTTTTAGTTCGTACAGCTAATATTCAGTGCATTGGAAAGAATTTCAAGGAGCGTAGAAATACAAAGACGCGACTAATACCAACTTAAAAAACAAGAAATTAAATTTTAGAAAAATGGTAGTTTTATAGTAATTAATTCAGTATGTGTCGCTTTGGTTAGTGAAGGTGTGTTCTTTAAATAACTGTGAACCATGGGCACATTTTTTATTTCAAGGTCGCCTAAGTTTTAATTTTAGTCGATGTGTAGTCAGGAATATTTCTTGGTCTCAAGGTGGCAATGAAATTTCAAGATTTAGATTTATAAAGTAGTAATAAACCTGTTCGTAAAATTTGTTTTCTACAAACAAGTTTGAAATGTAAATCGTGATAGTGAGATAAAGAATTAATGCCCTCACCCTCAGTGACATATATTGTTTCAAGAGGGCTCCGCATGATCGTGCAACGTAGAGATGGCGCCACTTGCGCTAGGTTGGTTTGAAACGTCAAATTTTAATTGGTCCAAGGTCTGCTACGATCCACATTATTACTTAAAATGTTTTCAGTAGTTTAGTAAATCTTAAAAAACTGAAACCGGGAGTTTATCAAATTATAAATTTCTAGATTATTATACAACTTAGTACTAATCTAACAGAAACCAACCGCAAAGCGGCGTCCGTGTCGGCCTTGTCGTCCAGCTCGCTCGACTCCGGCTCGACCCCCAGCTCCAAAGGTATCTCCCAATACCCCAGCAACGCTACAATCTCAACCTTAACATCGCAACAAGAATACAAAGACAAACCGAGTCTTCCTCTCCAAGAGCCAGACGTAATCGCAAGCACAAAATCGTCAAGTTCGTCTTCTCAAAAAACCGACGACCAATCTTCCAAATTGGACATCCCCGTGGCGCCCCCTCGCCGCAAAAAGAAAAACAAGACGGCTGCTTTAGCAATTAAAGTGAGTCGTGTTTGGGGTCGTTGCACATTGACATTTGTGTTTCTAGAAATCGGCATCTAGTACTACTTTCGAATCGAGCGATCTGGCCAGTCCTGCTAGTACCATCGAGAGTTTGACCCGTGAGTTTGAGCATTCGTTAGATCGGTTACCAGAAGGCAAATCGCAGTCGGGGAATTCTTTAGATATAAAGCAAGCGTTGAAGGGGCAGTTCGTGGTCAAACCCCAGGATACGGATAGTTTGAAGGCGCAGAGTGGGGTGAAGGAGAGTCAAGAGGTGGAGACTACGAGTAGTACGAGTAGGAGTGGTCATAGTGGCAGAGGGTCGTCGACTAGGAGTAGCGTGGGGCACTACAGTTTAGGACCTCACAGGTACTTTGTGCTCTTGTAAGTACTTGTCGAAAGTGGTGGTTTTAGGGGTACTCACCAGTCACACAATAGGACTTCCAAAGAGCGCCGGCGTTCCGCTGGCGATGAGAATATGTTGCAAGATATTAATTTGAGGGTGCGCACGCACACTGATTCCGGTAAGCAACTATCCGACTTTGAAATCTTGGAACAAGTCACGGTCCTGAATCTGGATACTGGAGAACGAGTACCGTTGAGTGTGGCCGAAGATAAGTTACCACAATGTATAAACCCGTTGTCGTTACACATTATGCGGTTGACGTCGGAGTACGTTAGTAGTTCCAGTATGGAAAAAGAGAAAGAGTCGGATGAAGAAAGCGAAGATACGAAGAAAGTGGAAATACCGATTGTGGACGACAACGAAGAAGTGGGTCGAATGAGGAAGAAAACAGCCATGTTGAAGAAATTCGTGGGTACTGCTATGAAAAAAACAATGCATAAAGCGAAGAGCATAGCACAAGAAGTGTCACACGCTAGACATAAAGAAGACACGATTGACATTGTAGATGTGGTCAATCCAGGAGAGCAGAGCATTAAATTGAAGGTTGGTACTACCTCTAGATTTTATTATTGTTACTAACTTACTTCCAGGCTTCCAACTCGCATAAAGGTCCGTACGACTTCGAGAAAGTCGAGCATGTTCAAGAACTCAAAGACGAACACGAAGGTCCCATCTGGTGCATGAAGTTCTCTTGTTGTGGACGTCTACTTGCAACGGCCGGTCAAGATAAGGTTCTCCGGATATGGATAGTCCGTGACGCGTTTCCCTTCTTCCAAGACATGAGAACTAAATACAACGCTGAGAAGGTGTCCCCTACGCCTTCACAAGAGTCCTTAGTGTCCCACCACTCGGGCGAAAACACCAGCTTGGCGGTACTCGAAGCCCTCAGTTCCGAAGAGTGTGGCAAGATGACCTTCATGCCGAAACCGTTTTGTACATACACCGGCCACACTTCCGACTTGTTGGACGTTTCTTGGTCGAAAAACTACTTCATTTTATCATCGTCGATGGATAAAACAGTCAGATTGTGGCACATTTCTCGAAAAGAGTGTCTTTGTTGCTTCCAACACATTGATTTCGTCACAGCTATCGTGTTCCACCCAAGGGACGACCGGTGAGTTCCGTGTCACCGTGTTGTCAGGTCATAACCCCCACATTGTAGGTACTTTCTCAGCGGCTCCCTCGACGGTAAACTACGTTTGTGGAACATCCCCGATAAGAAAGTCGCCGTTTGGAACGAAGTCGAAGGCAACCCCAAACTAATCACCGCGGCAAATTTTTGCCAGAACGGTAAATTCGCCGTGGTGGGTACTTACGACGGTCGCTGCATTTTCTACAACACCGACCAGCTCAAGTACCACACCCAGATCCACGTGCGCTCCTCCAGAGGTCGCAACGCCACCGGTAGGAAAATCAGCGGCATCGAGCCCATGCCCGGCGAGGACAAAATCCTGGTCACTTCCAACGATAGCCGCATTCGCTTGTACGACCTACGCGATTTGAACGTCTCGTGCAAATATAAAGGTTACGTTAACATGAGTAGTCAAATTAAGGCGAGTTTTAGCCACGACGGGAAGTATATAGTCAGCGGGTCCGAGAACAGGGACATCTACATCTGGAAGACTAATCACGACTACGCGAAGTTCTCGTCGGTGAGGAGGGACAGGAACGACTTTTGGGAGGCCATTAAGGCTCATAATGCGGTTGTGACGTGTGCCATTTTCGCCCCGAATCCAGAAGGGATTCTCAAGATGATCGAGGAAAGTACAAAGACGGAGGAGGCGGCGGAAGGGGGTGATAAGGTGAGGAAAAGGGTGGTGTGGAAGGGTGTTAATGGAAGTTTGCAGCAGGTGGCCGATCCCGTTGTGGAACAACATACCAAAGGATGCGGAGGTTACGTTTTGATTTCGGCGGATTTTAACGGTTGTATTAAGGTGTTCATTAACAAGATGAAACCAAAGCATAGCTCATTACCTGTGTCCGCCATGGTGTCTAACTCCAAGGTTAAAAAAGGGTAGATGATGTATTTCATAGTACTAAATTGTGATGCGGAACATGTATTATATTTTTTTTAATTGTATATTTGATTTTAGTCGGAATATATTGATTAACACGATATGGTGTTTTTTTTTATCCTTTAACTGATCCTGGAATGAACTCGATAGTTTTAAGTTAACTGGAGACCCATTTCTCCGGTTAGAGTACCCCCAGGTGCTTCCTTTCCGGAGAGAGCTGGCGCCCGAGCAGCTGCCCCATAGAAGGCGCCAAGTCAGGTCAAGTCTTCAGTGGCACTGGACACCACAATCCCTCTTAACGTAGCGGTAGAAGATATCGGTACATCCCTCATTAAAGTATCGGTACAGGGTACAGCCTTCATTAAGGTATCGGTACAGGGTACAGCCCTCATTAAGGTATCGGTACAGGGTACAGCCCTCATTAAGGTATCGGTACAGGGTACAGCCCTCATTAAGGTATCGGTACAGCCCTCATTAAGGTATCGGTACATCCCTCATTAAAGTACAACCATCATTAAGGTACAACCGTAACTAAGGTACAACCCTCACTAAGCTACAACCCGCACTAAGGTACAACCCTCACTACAGCACAACCCTCACTAAGGTACAACCCTTATTAAGGCATAATCTGCATTAATGTACAACCCTCATTAAGGCCCAACGCTCATTAACGCACAACCGTCACTAATGTACAACCCTCATTAAGATACAAGGTACAACCCTCATTAAGGTATCGGCCCAACCCCCATTAAGGTATCTCAGGGACCCCTCGTGCCTGGTTTTTGAAATAGTTTGAAGGATCTCGGTGACCCGTTTTGTTTTGTTTTTGAAATAGTTTCAAAGAATCTTGGACACCCTTTGTCTGGTTTTTGAAGTAATTTGAAAGAATCTCGGGAACCCCTTGTGTTTAGTTCTTGAAGTAGTTTGAAAGGATCTCGAGAATCTTTTTTATTTTATTTTTTGAAGTACCTAGTTTGAAAGAATCTCGGGAACCTCGGGCGTCTCGTTTTTGAAGTAGTTTAAAGGATGGGCTCTGTTCTGTAACCCAGGTACCAGCGCCTCTGGAATATTCTCAGTTTCCGGATGGTTCCCTCCGTCCCTGTAGGGACACGATCTTTGAATATTCTATCATTCCGTAGAGGTTAACTTCGGAACCCTAGACGAGGTCTCAGAATCGGGACAGTTCTCATTAAGGTATCGGTACAGCCCTCATTAAGGTATCGGTGCAGCCCTCATTAAGGTATCGGTACAGCCCTCATTAAGGTATCGGTACATCCCTCATTAAAGTACAACCATCATTAAGGTACGACCGTAACTAAGGTACAACCCTCACTAAGCTACAACCCGCAATAAGGTACAACCCTCACTAAGGTACAACCCTCACTAAAGCACAACCCTCACTAAGGTACAACCCTCACTAAGGTACAACCCTCACTAAGGTACAACCTTCATTAAGGCATAATCTGCATTAATGTACAACCCTCATTAAGGTATCAGTACAACCCTCATTAAGGCCCAACCCTCATTAACGCACAACCGTCACTAATGTACAACCCTCATTAAGGTACAAGGTACAACCGTCATTATGGTACAACCCTCATTAAGGCATAACCCGCATTAAGGTATCTCAGGGACTCCTCGTGCCTGGTTTTTGAAATAGTTTGAAGGATCTCGGTGACCTGTTTTGTTTTGTTTTTGAAATAGTTTCAAAGAATCTTGGACACCCTTTGTCTGGTTTTTGAAGTAATTTGAAAGAATCTCGAGAATCTTTTTTATTTTATTTCTTGAAGTACCTAGTTTGAAAGAATCTCGGGAACCTCGGGCGTCTCGTTTTTGAAGTAGTTTGAAGGATGGACTCTGTTCTGTACCCCAGGTACCAGCGCCTCTGGAATATTCTCATTTTCCAGATGGTTCCCTCCGTCCCTGTAGGGAGACGATCTTTGAATATTCTATCATTCCGTAGAGGTTAACTTCGGAACCCTGGACGAGGTCTCAGAATCGGGACAGTTCTCATTAAGGTATCGGTACAGCCCTCATTAAGGTATCGGTGCAGCCCTCATTAAGGTATCGGTACAGCCCTCATTAAAGTACAACCATCATTAAGGTACAACCATCACTAAGGTACAACCCTCACTAAGGTACAACCCTCACTAAGGTACAACCCTCACTAAGGTACAACCCTCATTAAGGCATAATCTGCATTAATGTACAACCCTCATTAACGCACAACCGTCACTAATGTACAACCCTCACTAAGCTACAACCCTCACTAAAGCACAACCCTCACTAAGGTACAACCCTCATTAAGGCATAATCTGCATTAATGTACAACCCTCATTAACGCACAACCGTCACTAATGTACAACCCTCATTAAGGTACAAGGTACAACCGTCGTTAAGGTACAACCCTCATTAAGGCATAACCCGCATTAAGGTACAACCCTCATTAAGGTATCGGCCCAACCCCCATTAAGGTATCTCAGGGACCCCTCGTGCCTGGTTTTTGAAATAGTTTGAAGGATCGGTGACCCGTTTTGTTTTGTTTTTGAAATAGTTTCAAAGAATCTTGGACACCCTTTGTTTGGTTTTTGAAGTAATTTGAAAGAATCTCGGGAACCCCTTGTGTTTAGTTCTTAAAGTAGTTTGAAAGAATCTCGAGAATCTTTTTTATTTTATTTTTTGAAGTACCTAGTTTGAAAGAATCTCGGGAACCTCGGGCGTCTCGTTTTTGAAGTAGTTTAAAGGATGGGCTCTGTTCTGTACCCCAGGTACCAGCGCCTCTGGAATATTCTCAGTTTCCAGATGGTTCCCTCCGTCCCTGTAGGGACACGATCTTTGAATATTCTATCATTCCGTAGAGGTTAACTTCGGAACCCTAGACGAGGTCTTAGAATTGCAGACCCGAAGTTCGGAACTGAAGATTTTGGGCTGTCTATGTTAGGACGACTAACATGGAGGTGGGTTTGAAGGCAATTTTGGACCAATCGATTAACGACCACAATTTTTTTTCTGAGTACTAATAAACCAGGGTCCTACGGGTTAGCAGCCAGAAAATAAACAACGTTTTGTGTCGTGGAGGCTCCTGATTGGTCCAGAAACATGTAAATTCTTAAATAAGTCCATTTGTTTTAGAATTCTGGTAAAATAATAATTTTTGTCAAGAATCCAATAACTTTTATTGTACAATAACTTAAAACTTGTAATATTCATCACTATTCAGATGAATGACAGTCAACGACTCCTTGAACACACTCAAAGAAATTTTCTTTTTGGCTTCGAAAGTAACATTTTTCACTGGAACAATTTGAGTGAAGCCATTTTCACTGAATTCGCCACTAATTTTGGAATTCAACCACACAAAGAGACTAATTCCATCACACTTCACACTTATTTCAAACTTCGTACCACGGATCTTCCTTGTGGACACTATTTCAACCCTTGTTTTTTGGAATTTCGAATATTTCAATGTTGTGGCCAAAACTAAATTATGTGGTGCTACTACGTCACCATCGGATTCCAGAGTGAGGTGGAAAAAGCAGTTTGTGCTGGCTGTCGCAAAAGAACCACAACCGACGTTCCGGAGGTATAAATCTCTATCGATTTGGGCAACTTGGGTACCTTTACCATATTCCTGAAGAAATCGAATACAATTATTTTTTAAAAGGTGTGACGAAGGGGTTTTACCAGAGTTGCGTTGATCCTCATGGTGTGGACGGGTTCAAATGAAGTCCATTTGTATACGGTTACCACAGCCGTCACGTCCATCGTTGAATTCCTCAAACGTGGAATTTCGCTGACTGCATAAATTTGAAGGTTTCTGAAAGAATCTATGAACCCAGTTATAATTGTCGGGGCGAAAAAATCGCTAACAAAGTATTGCAGTATTTTCCATTTGCCGGTATAATCTAATAAACTAAGCGTATTTACACTAGACGAGGCGTAAACCTAGAGTTACCTATAGCAGACCACGAAGGTGCCACCCAGACGTCATTCAAAGACCAAAAAAGTATCCCCATGGAATAACCTTCACCAGAACTGGTGACTCTTGCCATAAAACTGCGCCGGTATTCAACTCCAAGCTTAACAGACAAAGCTTGAACAATTTGAGAGTAGAATATAAACATTTTATATTCTTTGTGATTCGAAATGTCTAACTGTGGAACAATTGTAGTCAACAAATTGTACGCTCCCAAATTTGAATGGTGTCTGTGTTCTACGAAAATACCATCTTGATACAAGTTTGTCACGTCGTCTGTAACAGTCATCCAAGAATCAACATCTGGAATAGATAGGTAGCCCTGTTCAATGACAAAACGCGAAAGTGGATGACTTTTGACGTCGAGAGTGTTCGTGAAATAGAAGTAGTAACTACCTGGAATTAGTAAGCTACGTGTTTGATCAAATAATACAATCAAATATAGTCAAACCAGTTCCAAATAAGGTGCTAGTAGGATCCATCACAAAATACCCAACTTCTTCATCCTTCTTTCCGTTATTGGGACAGCTCGAAACGAATAGCGCTTTCGGCTGAATACTCCATAATTCCGACTGGATGGTCTTAATCAATTTAATGTACTGTTTTTTGTAAAACATAAATCTTCTTTTAACGCCGTACCAGTTGTAAGAAATGGCTAGCTCAGTTTCGCTGCCACCAGCCCATATAGCAAGACTCGGGTGGTTACTTAACCGTTTGACCTGATGCCGGATTTCAGCTTTCACGTTTCTGAAAATGTGGTTGCGTTTGTGATCGACCAAGTACTCAATCTTACTCTAAAAAGTCTGGGTACGTGGGATATGAAAACAGTGCAAAGGGAAAGTCTTGCCAGATCAAGAGTCCCAGTTGGTCTGCTTTCTGGTAGAAGTAATCCGATTCGTAGATGCTTGTCCCACTAACGCGGAGCATGTTCATGTTAGAGCGACGCGCGATTTCTAAAAACTCAGAAATTCTGTCACGATTGTAGCTCTCTTCAGGCAATATGTTGAAAGGTACTACATTTGCACCTTTAGCAAAAATCGGGACGTCGTTGACTTTGAAGTAAAAAGTAAACCCAGAGCCTGGTACTTATGGTTATTTTTTAGATTAGGTTAGTATCATTGTATTACCTATAGGGTCTTGGATTAGTTCGATTTTTCTAAAGCCTATGGTGGTGTTGATGTAGCTGATGTCTATAGTTGTGTTCAGTTTCACAGACACTTTGTACAAGTTCTGGCTCCCGAAGCCGTTGGGCCACCATTTTTGGACTGCAAGCTACCAACAATATTTACTATAGAAAAATTAGGGTCTGGCGATTTTAGCATACTTTGGGAATTGTGAAATTAAAGTCAACTTTGAGGTCGTTCCTGATTTGGTGATTAATTTTTGCGATTTTTGTGATGTTGTGGTCATCCGTTTCGATTTCATACGTAAGTTTTCCCTTGATGGTGGTGTTCCTCGTCGAGTCTAAATATGTGGAAGTCTTTATCAACCAGAAATCGGATTCTTCTTCGTAATCGACAAGAAAATATCGAATTATAGCTGTGTCGTACCCTTCCAAATACACTTCTTTCCTTGAGGTCTTAGTTAAATGACGATTTAGTTAAAATAGTTATATTTACCATATCCCCATGGATGGTACCGCTATAGCATAATCCCACCCAAACGACGCATGCATCTTACGTATTTGATTAATATGGCATTCTCCCCTGATCACACCGGTTTGACACGCATTAGGTACCATGTAACCGTGGTTTGACAACAACTGCTTTGCCATTAATATCGGGGACACAAATCGCACCACAACAGTGTTTTGTCCGATCTAAAAATCATCTTCAAATTCCGCTATTAGTGTGTAGCTTCCCCTACCCTTAAAGCTTTCGTCACGTCAAAAATATACCGACGAAACATGTTCTCGCTTCGTCCAATTTCAACCCCATTGATTAAAATGGTGGCAAAAGTGTCCAAACCCTCGAACACCACGTTAATTGTGGCATGTCGGACAAAAGTTTCATCGACTGAAAAAACCCGTTCGTAAGTCCAGTTGGTTTTGGCCACCCATCTGGTCTCTGTATCGTTGGTTCCATAGAAGACGTCACCGATGATTTTGTTTCGCATTAAGTCGGTGTAAATGCCACCCGGGACCTTGGCGGAGAGGTTGCTATATTCTGTTATAATGTTTATAGAGAATTGTCAGGAAGGGGTGATATCTTACTTCCGGTGGTTTCGTGAACCGTCCATTCGCCACCCAAGTTTTGCACCCTGAAGCCATTTGTGCTACATATTTCGCCAAAAACAAGGATAAGCCACCAAAAGGCCATGGGAACGGTGTAAAGTAAACACTGAACTAAGTTAAAATGTGCAAAAACCATCTATTAAATAAATTTTATTGCAGCGGTTATCTTATCGTAAGGCAGCGAAGGACGTTGCAGTGAAAATTTTGAAAGTGACCAAGGGCAAGATCGTAAACAAAGAGACTTTTTTTAATGAGATAGTTTGTATCACTGAATAATAAGTACTAATTTACTATTTTTTTCTAATCTCCATACGCACTCATTAGATAATAACACCTTTTTAAAATTTACATACGTTAAATTTTAAAAAGGTGTTTATACTATTTTTAATTACGTTGAAATAGGTGCAAAGAACTTATTTCATAGCTATTTCCCATTTAAATAAGCAAAGAATAAAAGCGTAGCGACAGCGGTGCGAAGGGCGTCTCTCGTATCGGACTAAAAGTACTAACAACTGGCGCAGGAATACACAATGTATATTTCTCTTTAATTTATCTTTGCAAATACCGCAACTTAAGTACTGTAATTTGGGTTGTCTACATCATTCCCCGTGGTGATGCTTCATGGGATGCCTTCTTAACGACGGTGGAAGCCTGTTGGCGATCAGCGATGGAGGCAGGTCTGAACCGAGCGCCGTCGAATTACAGTCATTTTGAGTCATTTGGAACATGTAAGAGAGGTCTATATCGTATCGTGGTAGTTTATCTCGGAGATAAGAAATCACGTTGATTCCAAGAACTGGTTCTCGGCTCATTATGAAACTGGAAAGGTACCTGGGAACCTTTGATTTTTCGGCGCAGTGGAGAAGTAGGGCCCAAGACGTGTAGTCCGAATCGAGGACGAAGGTGTTATACACTCCTTCGTCTGAAAAAAAAAACACTGCGGTAATGAATGCGTTGCTGCAACTAACTAACACAAAATGTGTAATAATTGACCCATTAAAGCCGAAATCGTGCTCGTGTCACTCGTCCGACCAGCCTGCTATCTCTGCGAGCATCTAACACATCTTTTATGTCCCTAAAAAGCATCCATTAACCGCATAAACCGCTGCTGCATCTATTAAAATCCATTTAACGCCCACGATTTGCTCGCTCTTACTGACATGTGTCCTCTGAATGGGTCCAGTGTGAAGGTACCACCGGATTCGGTATGGTCCACGTGATGTTCCCTACCAACTGCTCATTGATGGGATCGTCGGTGAAGCTGTAGGTGAAATTCATGGTCACGTCCGCCAGGAAGGGCGACATGGTGAACTCCGCCCGCATGCAGCGGTACGAGAGAGCCTCCTCGGAACTCGCGTAGTACTGGATGACGTACCATCGACCCATCATCTGCAACGACGCCTCAGTTAATTAATTGCAAAGGACGCGTAGCGACAGCAGCGCGAAGGGCGTCTTAAGGTTTAATTCCAAAAAATGAACTCTTTCCGCATACTTAAAGCGTGACTCACGACTTAGACATTAACTGTCGATTAAAATCCCGGAAATTTATGGCGAGTTGATCGCGTTATCAGCCAAATCCTACTCTTACTAATCAAATCTCGTTGAAATTGAGCTCAACACTCAAAACAATTGCAACAATCCGTGACCTGCAATTAATTCCTGCTGAGCATCGTCACCTATCATGTCCCGTTTTTCTTTTACATTGCAAATCGCGACGTATCAGGAATTCCTAAACAATAAAAATTAGATCGATGTCAACACACGCAGAATACCAACACGGCGAAAATTCCTAGCATGTACACACCTGTTCCAAATCGAAGTTCCTAATCGCTTTGACTTTCGGACACTTGGTTTTATCCTCTGGACGTTTGCGCCGGCTGCAGGAACAGGATAACAGCAGGAGCAGCAGGAATAGGCGGAACGAAAGCATTTTATTGAATCGACATTAACGGACTGGATGTTGTGATTCTTCCGCTGGGTTTGATAGTCTTATCGACGAAGTGGGCGAAAATGTTTTGATTAGCTGAAATGTTGTGGTTTATCTTCGAGTAAACAAGAAGAAGCAACAATAACAGTGCCAGGTCGGCCGGATTTGTTAAGTGATTAATTGGTTTGTGGCGGGCCGTGAGTGGAGGTTGAACGTTCACACTAATAAAGCCAAATTGGTTTAATTAATCGGAAATTAATCAATAGTGCGGACGTTACGGTGGTTTTCAGAGCATGATGCGGACTTCTACCAGCGCTGGTGCTATTATCAACATTGTTAATGGTTTCGTTTTGATGGCTTTATTTTTAATTGACAGCGATTGCGAATGCTGACCCAGAAGATTCGGCTTGATCCGGCCTAATTAAGATTTTTCGATAAATTGACGGATTTATGGAGGTGGAAGTGCTGCTTTCATTTTTAGTAGGAAGAGAACATTTTTTGTTAAACAAAAAACCGTTTCTCCAGAGCTTGTTTTAGGAGTATTGAGTAATTAAAAGCTTTCACTGGATTAAAAAATTTGAATTATATGAAAAATTTCCTCAAAGTCTTAAAAAAATTCTAGGATATTGATCCTATAGAGTGCTGAGACCAAAAATACAGCGTGTTTATTGTTCTAGAGAAAGATATTCGAAATATTCGGTTTGGAAGCCAAATTTCTGTAAAATTCCAAATATTGCCATATTTGAATTGATGATTCTGGAAAAATGCTAGGAATTTTCAAATAAATGAAGTTGAACATGAATTCTGGATGTCGAAACCTACAAAAAAATATATTTAGCTAATTTTGGAAAATGGGCAAAAATAGACAAAATATAATAAGAAATGAAGGAGAGCATTGAAAATTCGAACTTTTGAAGAGTTTACTGAAAATCCTCAAAAAATTCTAGGGTACTGATACCAAAACAGAGCGTGTTTGAGGTCCTAAAAAAGACATTCGAAATATTTGGTTTGAAAGTCAAATTTTTGTAAAAATTTTTTTTGTAAAAATTTTTGGAAAAATGCTAGGAATTTTCAAATAAATGAAACTGAAAATGCATCATGTATGAAAATGGTCAAAAAATAGAAAAAATTCCATAAGATATGAAATAGAGCATTGAAAATTTGAACTTGAACAAAATTTACTGAAAATCCTCAAAAATTCTAGGATACTGACACACAAAATTACGGTCTCAGAGAAAGACGTTCGAAATATTCGGTTGTCGAAATCTATAGAAAAATCTCCTTAGCTCATTTTTGAAAATGGTCGATAAGTGGGTAAAATTTTGTAACGTACAAAAGAGCATTGATAATTTGAACTTTTGAAAAAGTTTCCTGAAAACCCTTAAAAATTATATCATATTGATCTCGAGGTGGTAATAACGAAAATACAGCGTGTTTAAAGTCTTAGAAAAAGATATTCAAAATACTTAAATAGAAAATCAAATTTTTAAAAACTTCAAAATATTGCTTTATTTCAGTTTGACAATCCTAGAAAAAAGCTCGGAATTTTCGAATAAATAAATATGAAAATGAGGTCTGGATGTAGAAATTTACAAAAAAACTTTCGCTAATTTTTGAAAATGCTCAAAAAATTGTCAAAATTTCAAAGTACGAAGGAACATTGAAAATTTGAGCTTTTGAAAATGTTTCCTGAAAATCCTCAAAAAATTCTAGGATAGAGATTTCGACGTGCTTACACCAAAAATAATTTGATTTGAAAATCTATTTCTTTGAAAGTCAAATTTAAAAAAAATTCAAAATATTACCATATTTCAGTTGATGATCTTGGAAAAATGTTGGAAATTTTCAAATAAATGAAACTAAAAATGAATTCTGTATCTCGAAATCGAAAAAAAACTTTAGCTAATTTTTGAAAATAGAATAAAGGTAAGCCATTGAAAATTTTAACTTTTGAAAAAGTTTCCAAAAAATTCTAGGGTATAGATTTCGACGTGCTGATAACAGGAATATAGTGTGTTTTAGGATCTAAAGAAAGATATTCGAAATATTCGGTTTGGATGTCAATTTTTTTTTAAATCCAAAATAGTGCGATATTTCAATTGACGATCCTGGAAAAAAGCTAGCAATTTTCGAATAAATAATGCTGAAAATGAACTCTGGTTGTCGAAATTTACAAAAAATGTCTTTGGCTAATTTTTGAAAATATTTGAAAAATGCGTAAACTTTCATAAGGCAGTAAAAATTTGAACTTTTGAAAATATTTTCATAAAATCCTTTAAAAATTCTAGGATATAGACGGCGAGTGCTGATGTCAAAAATTTAACGTGTCTAAAGCCACAGAGAAAGGAATTCGAAACAATTGATTTGAAAGGCAATTTGTTTGAAAAATCCAAAATATGTATTGTCACATTTCAATTGAAAACCCCGGGAAAATGCTAGAAATTTTCAAATAAATGAAATCTGAAAATGTATTCTGGATGTCAAAAGCTACGAAATTTTTTTAGTTAATTTTTGAAAATGGTTGAACTTTTAAGAAAGTTTCCTGAAAACCCTCATTAAATTCTAGGATATAATTCTCGAGGTAGTAATAGCGAAAATACAGCGTATTTAAAGTTTTAAAGAAAGATATTCGAAATATTTGATTCCAAAATCTAATTTTTCAAAAATCCAAGATATTTATTTTGTATTTGCATTTCAGTTGACGATCCTGAAAAAATGCAAGACATTTTCAAATTAATGAAGTCTCGTGTCGGAATTTACAAAAATATCCTTAGCTAATTTAGGAAATTGATCGAAAAACGGGTAAAATTTTATAAGGGATGAAGGAGCTTTGAAAATCTGAGCTTCTGAAAAATTTTCCTGAAAATCTTTTAAAAAATTCTAGGATATAATTTTCGAGTGCTGACACCAAAATTACAACGTGTTTAAAATCATAGAGAAAGATATTCGAAATATTGTAGTTTGGAAGTAAATTTTTTTAAAACTCCAAAATATTGCCATATTTTAATTGACAATCCTAGAAAATTTGGTTGAAAAATGGGCAAAATTTCATAAGCGCTGAAAATGTGAACTTTTGAAAATGTTTCCTGAAAATCCTCAAAAAATTCTAGAATATACATTTCGACGTGCTTATGCCAAATATATACCATGTTTAAGGTCCTAGAACCGAAATATTTGATTTGAAAATCAATTTTTTGAAAAATCCAAAATTGCCATATTTCAGTTGACGATTTTGGAAAAATGAGAGGAATTTTCAATTAAATAAAGCTGAAAATGAATTCTGGATCTCGAAATCGAAAAAATATCTAACGGACAAAATTTCATAAAGTAGAAAGGAAGACTGAAAATTAGAACTTTTTAAAAAGTTTTCTGAATAACCTCAAAAATTTTAGGAAGTAGATTTCAAGGTGCTCATTCCAAAAATACAGCGTGTTTAAGGTCCTAGCAAAAAATATTGAAAATATTTGCTTTGAAAGTCAATTTTTTTAAAAATCAAAAAATATTGCGTTATTTCAACTGATGATTCTAGAAAAATGCTAGGAATTTTTAAATAAGTGAAGCTGGAAATGAATAAGATATGTCGAAATCTATAGAAAACTCTCCTTATCTCATTTTTGAAAATGGTCGAAAAGGGGGCAAAATTTCGTAATGTACAAAAGAGCATTGATAATTTGAACTTTTGAAAAAGTTTCCTGAAAACCCTTAAAAAATTATATGATATTGATCTCGAAGTGGTAATAACGAAAATACAGCGTGTTTGAAGTCTTAGAAAAAGATATTCAAACTACTTAAATAGAAAATAAAATTTTTAAAAACTTCAAAATATTATTTTATTTCAATTGACGATCCTGAAAAAATGCTAGAAATTTTCAAATAAATGAATCTGAAAATGAATTCTCGTTGTCGGAATCTACAAAAAAAACTTTAGCTGATTTTTGAAAAAGTTTACTGAAAATCCTCAAAAAATTCTAGGGTACTGATACCAAAATAGAGCGTTTTTGAGGTCCTAAAAAAAGACATTCGAAATATTTGGTTTGAAAGTCAAATTTTTGTAAAATTCAAAATATTGCCTTATTTCAATTGACGATTTTGGAAAAATGCTAGGAATTTTCAAATAAATGAAGTTGAAAATGCATCATGTATGAAAATGGTCAAAAAATAGAAACAATTTCATAAGATATGAAAGAGAGCATTGAAAATTTGAACTTTCGCAAAGTTAACTGAAAATCCTCAAAAATTCTAGGATACTGACACAAAAATACAGCAAGTTTACGGTTCCAAAGAAAGACATTCGAAATATTCGGTTTGAAAGTCAAATTAAAAAAAAATCCACAATATTACCATATTTCATTTGATGATCCTGGAAAAATGTTGGGAATTTTCAAATAAATGAAACTAAAAATGAATTCTGTATGTCGAAATCGAAAAAAAACTTTGGCTAATTTTTGAAAATAGTTGAGAAATGGGAAAAATTTCGTAAGGTAAGCCATTGAAAATTTTAACTTTTGGAAAAGTTTCCAAAAAATTCTAGGGTATAGTTTCGACGTGCTGATACCAAAAATATAGTGTGTTTTAGGACCTAAAGAAAGATATTCGAAATATTCGGTTTGGATGTCAATTTTTTTTTTAATCCGAAATAGTGCGATATTTCAATTGACGATCCTGGAAAAAAGCTAGCATTTTTAGAATAAATAATGCTAAAAATGAACTCTGGTTGTCGAAATTTACAAAAAAAAATGTCTTCGGCTAATTTTTGAAAATATTTGAAAAATGCGTAAACTTTCATAAGGCAGAAAAAAATTGAACTTTTGAAAATATTTTCATAAAATCCTTTAAAAATTCTAGGATATAGATGGCGAGTGCTGATGTCAAAAATTTAACGTGTCTAAAGCCACAGAGAAAGGAATTCGAAACAATTGATTTGAAAGGCAAATTTTTTGAAAAATCCAAAATATGTATTGTCACATTTCAATTGAAAACACTGGGAAAATGCTAGAAATTTTCAAATAAATGAAATCTGAAAATGTATTCTGTATGTCAAA